AACTATTTCAATGGCAGTTTTACATTTTCTTGGATCATTTAAAAAAACTCCCTGAGACTCCAATAGATCTGAGTGATATATTTTACTATGCCAAGAGAAAGTTTTACAACTCTTGCTCTTTTTTGTACACCCACAACATCCTTTGACTTAGCTTTGATTAAGCAGTGCCAATGCCAACATTGGTGATTAAACTCCAGGACATAGATTTGAACTCAATACCATACTCGCTACAACATTTTCAGACGGAATATTTAGGCACATAATTTCTCCATGGTTTTCTGGCAAAGAAATCCCAATAAATATTAGCAGAGGAAGAAGGTACTGGTTTTCCAGGTACTTTTAAAACATTGCCTTCAGTATACTTAGCAACTTCTACATGAATCTCTCCAGATTCCATATACACAAAGAAGGCATATGCATACAATTTCTCCACTCCATCCTGCTTTCAAGACCTTCAACAGACAGGTTGGTTAGCGGGTCAGTGGTGTCCACCTATCATTTAGGTCTAGGAGGAGAAAGCAGGCATTGGATTTAGTTCCTTTTGCTCTCCCCATCTATAGCTGACTTAGCAACAATTACTGTAGTTTTCCACCTGAGCTCTGTTGCCAGCTATGCAAGCAGATGTATTGACACGATTTTACCTAATAGTCCATGCCTGCAGAGTCCTTATAGGACTGTTTGTTTCTGGGACCACTGACCCCAATAACACAGTTTTTATTCTGGCTCCTGTTGAAAAATATGTTACTCATAAAACAACATTGTAGAAGATGGCAACTAAGAAAGGCGATCCCTTCGTATAAAGATGTCCTGTTAAGAGGCATGCGATTTTTTTAAAAGAAAAGAGTATCTTTTGTATTACATTCTTGGTTGTGACAATACAAAAAAAAAAGTACTGACTGACTAGACCAGTTCAAATAAGAGAGAGGATCTGCTGGAAACCTGGCTCATGATTGCAACCTGTATTTTACAAGTTGCATGCTGCTTGATCAATCCAGATTGCAGTGCACATCATTTTGAGTGCTGTCCAAGCACAAGAGAACCTCTTCTGTGGTTTGTTTCTCATCTAATAAACCAGAGAAAAACTCCATGATTTGTTTTATCTCCCCTGGGGATCCTTTGATGTGTTTTTTTGAGAGACAAACACACCAAAGAAGAGAAATTATCTGAATTCAGATGCTATTATAAACTCCTAAGTGTCGGAGTGGTGAATTTCAACCTTCCAGATGTTGCTGGCCTGCAAGACCAAGTGTGTCTCACATTTCCATGCCACTAAGGTTTGATGGCAATTCCAGTCCAACAACATTTTGAGGAGCATACTGTACTTTATCCCCCACCAGTGTAGTGTTCTTGCCACAAGTCGCTTGTGTCTAACGTGTCAGGGTTACGGCACATCCTTACTTGCAAGGTAGTCTGAACCACAGGCCTCTTCCTAGTGTAGCCAGCAGGTTCCAGTGTGAATAACGTTTGCTATTCAAACTACTTTCAAAAGCCATTTGCCATGCAGGATGTAGCGCTTTTGCCTGACAGAGGGAAGACCACAGTCTCCATAGAGTTGTATACATATTTATCTGGATTCTGGAGCTTGGCCAGTGTTTCTTGGCAATTAAATACTTATATAATGAAATAAAAGGTTTTACCAAGAGAATGTCTTTTCTCTGGAAACAAGGTGAAAACAAAATGTGCTGCTGAATATATTTCAGTCAGAAATGCCATATTTCTAGATGTACTTTAATGATAAAATTGGATACATTGGCAGCCAAGAGCAAATTAATAAAACAGTCGTTCCTGGGATGCTCGTTGCCCATCATACTCCTTCCCATTTGTGTCAAAGACTGTTTCTTTTTCAGCCTAGCCGTTGCTGTCTCCATGGTGGCCTTTGTTAAAAAGCTCTCCTGCTACTCTTGCTCTAGGTACAATTCTGAAATGGATTGCCACTGGGGGGAAAAATTGGAGAGAGATTTTATGTTTAAAATATAATCTTTCATCAGAACTCTAAATCCTGCCAAGACCATTAAAGGCCACACTGTGTATGTACATTACTGAAAAGAGAGCCCAGCAGACTTTTCAATGCTTAAATTATATGGAGCGCCTTGTTTTTGTTTTAAGCACAACTGACTTGTAAAAGAATAACTTAATTGCATGTAAACGAAAGGATTCCTAATGAGTCTGTAATGGTTCAATATATCTTCCATAGCCTTAAGTTGTAATTTAAATTCATGTCTCTTTTGTTGTGCCAGTCACAAAATTATATTCAGTGGCTCAAATCCTGTAGGGCAGTTATGCAGACAGTGTAAATTTTTTAAATGAATCGCCATAGTTTAAGTCTCTGTAGACATTATCAGTTGCATACAGAATTTCGTGACTTGACATACATTAGATAAGTTCTACAGAGGTTTCTTCATTTATGGCAATTTACCTCTAAAAGTTATGCCTCTTACATAATTATGCAACAGGATTTCAGCCAGTATAAATCTGGACTGCCAATTACAACAAATCACTTTGCTGAGAGATGTTTCAAGTATTGTTCTCTTGCCCTCTCAGCCAGGTTAATAGCCTGAAATGCCAAGATGATTGACCAAAAAGCTAGGAAAAACGTTGCAGGTCCTTAATTCTGTGATTTAAGTTAATGATAATGGGTACACTGTTCATTTAACAGCACTGATCCAGGGGTATGACAAAGCATGCATTGGCTATGATTAAAATGATCTAGACAAAGGCAGTGAAACTAAAATTAAAAGAAAAACAATATCACCTAGATAAGTCCATAAATTTATTTAAAAAACATGGGGTCTCAAAAAAACTGTGGAAAAATGCTGAAATTCAGAAACAATATGCAAAAGACTAATATTTTAACAATGCAATGTCTACTCAGAAGTACTGTATTTCTCAATGAGTTCATTGAGATGAACCTCTACATCAAATTTCTAGAACACTAGAGATTTGCCAAACCTGGATCCCCCAATGTTGATGGGCTTCAATTTCCATAAGCCCCCACTGGCAAGGCCAATGGTCAGGGATTCTGAGAAACAATATGCAAAAGACTAATATTTTAACAATGCAATGTCTACTCAGAAGTACTGTATTTCTCAATGAGTTCATTGAGATGAACCTCTACATCAAATTTCTAGAACACTAGAGATTTGCCAAACCTGGATCCCCCAATGTTGATGGGCTTCAATTTCCATAAGCCCCCACTGGCAAGGCCAATGGTCAGGGATTCTGAGTGTCGTAGCCCAACAGCATCTGGGGGGGGGGGGCTCAAGGTTGGGAAGCCCTAGTTTAGAGGACTGCAGCCAAACCTACTCAGTTTCCACTCCAAATCTGGTAACAAAAAAGAATCACAACAGTTTGATAAACAGTCCATTTTTAACATACTGGCAACTAATAAAACTATTTAAAATTGATTCTCAAAATATGGTGGAGAGGGGAGGGGTACACAACGTAATGGAATTAACTTTGAACTACATGTTTTCCAAGTGTGTTGTATCATATATACAAGAGATAGTTCTCTAGATAGTCAAATAATTCCCATCAAGAATCCTGTGTGATATAGCTCAAAAATCTGAGAACACCAATATACTGACCAGAAACACAAATCCAGCTGGCTGGATTGTTCAGTGGTTTGGTTATCTAGCTGTGGAGCCAGAGGTTGGGAATTCAATCCCCCCCTGTCCATCCCAGAAGAGCCAGCCTGTGTGGCTTTGTGCAAAGCTGCACAGTCCCAGGATGCCCCCAGACAAAGGGAATGGAAAACCATTTCTGAGTATTCTCTACCAGGAAATTCTGGGAAAGGTCACCCTAAGTCGGAATTGACTTTACAGCACATGATTATTATGACAAATTAGTAACATTATGTCCTTCCTTGACAGCCTCCACCACAGGGGGAAATGGGTACCACAAGCTATGTTCTGCGCTATCCAAATAGCTAAATGAAATAAAAATCCAAATGTAAACTATCATTCATAGAATGTTATAAATTAAATTTTATTACATTTGTTATAAAGAGACAAAATATGTCACTGTTTGCAATCACGCAATAGTGCCAAGAGCTTCTTCAAAGGTTCTTTGTAGTTTCTCTTAATAGTGATGCAGCAGTCTATTTTCAAGCTAATAAAAAGCAATCCTACTGATGGGCGGAAGATCTGAAGACAGAGGACATGCCTTATCAAATGCCCTGTTCTGCTCATGAGATGAAAAGGCTGAAGGTGGAACAGCACCCTTCTTTGGTATTTCAGTATTATACCCATTCGCTACAATAGGAAAAATATGTTTGTTTGTTTGTTTATTTATTTGATTTATATCCCACCCATCTGGTCTGGCCGACCACTCTGGGTGGCTTCCAATAAAAATATGTTTGCCTGTTCCAAGGCTCATAATCATGAGCATTCCCCTAATTATGAGGATGCAGGTTCCCAAGGATCCAAACCTCCTCGGTCCCCAACACACCCACGCTGAAGTCCCCTTGTTCATCACTCCTGATGTGGACAAGGCAAGTGTTGTGGTCATTTCTGTGACTGCTGGGAGAGTCTTTCCCTCCAAGATCAGATCTCTCTTTCTACCATCTGAAGCAGAGCCAGGAATCAGCCGAGGGCCCCCAAGATTCCACCCAAAGTGGCCTTGGGTTCATAAGAGTATTAACTGTGAAAAAGAACAGCCCCCAAGAATGCATCTACCTCAGATTAATCAGGCAATTACAAAATGTTATTTTTTAAAAAATATATTAATTACAGAAATCACAGGAGCACTACTAGAATGTCTCCTTCTTCTGTCACACAGAAAAGAACGCTTATTTGATGGTATCTGATGTGGCCCCTACATGGGCAACTCATTATCCAAGCAGGGCTGGCGGTGCATGTCCCACAATTCTGAAGAGAGGTATGGCTCTCAAACAGACCATGAGCCGCCCTTGAGTCATGCATATCTCACATTAAAAAAAAGTATGCTTTCTATTTCCAAACTATTTTTATTCATATGTGCAGGGCTAATCAAAGTCTCAGAGCAAATGTTAAAAACATTCATTTTTATTCTTGAACAATAAGGAAAACTAACAGTTCTATGGGTATGTTTGTCTACATCGTTGAAGAACAAACTACTGATGCAACTCTAGTTCGGATTTTTCTAGCCAAACTGCTGAAATAACTTGCTCACAATGTAAAAATCCACCGGGCATCGCTCGATCGCTTCTCAGCCTGCTTAGTGGCTCAGCATGCAAATTTGGAAGGAGGAAGAGTTCAGTTTCCATCTGTCAGGGTGACTTATTAGTGGAACACCACGGCCCCCTTCTGGATTGCAATTATAATACATTCAAGGAATAATCCACAAAAGAATCGAAGTGTCTGCTCTTAACATCATCTCTCCTTCTTACCAAGCTCCTACATGATTATCATTTGTATTCAAGTTTAAAAAATTGCTTACAATCATAATTGGGTTGTGACACTGTTAGTCCCTAAATGGCTGTACTGAGTACAGAGCAACAAGTAGCAACCATTTGAATATATTTTCAAAATATTTCAGTGACATATATATTCAGGCACGTGGGACATTTACTTGTGCAAAGATATTATGAATGAACAGAAGTAAAGTACACTTATGGCCCACCGGAATTACAGAGAAGCCATTCTCAATGGTGGTGATATGGCCCCTCTGGGGGACCCTCGCACATTTAAAAGGAGCCAGACTGAACACTTTTCTAGTCTGTTTTTTAAATACATCTGTTTGTGTTGCATCCTTGTTTGACAGGGGTCCCTAAAACCTGAGAACTCCTAAAAGGGCTGCCAGAAAAAAAAGTTTAAGAATGACTGCTAGAGCTAACTCTTAACTTAGAGATCTATTGAAATGAGTAGGACTTACTGCACTTAACTAACCTAAGAACCACTGAAAATCTACTCTACATAGTCTTAGCTATGGATACAATCCATGCTGAATACAGTAATCATTCAATAAATATTGATTGTGCCAATTTTCTGGTTAGTTTTCTCTCCTAAGCCTATATTAAAAAAATAAATAAAGCAGTAACATACTTCTGCAACAAATTAACCTAAAAAGAAGAGTGACATAAGTCAGCACATCCATCATCACAAGCCATGATTTGTCAAACTGGACATCAGGTAAACCTAGTTCAGCTTTCTTGGTCTGAACTGAGAAGGGGGAAACCCTTTGCTGACAAGGATTCTTTCTAGATTTGGTGGATTCCAGAAGCAAGACAACAGAAAAATTCAAAACATGCGCTCTGATGTGCCAAGGGCTTATGTGTACTGTTGCCAAAGAACAGATAATTCTGGTCTAAAAGGATAAATTGTCTGAGCACAGGTATAAGGTAGTACACACAAGTCCTCTTATACAGTGGTGGCCATTGTTCAGCCCAACTCCAGATGTCAATCTAAAATGTGAAAGCGGCAGTCCTGTTCTAGCTGATGGAGCGCGTAGAGCATGATGAATCCTCTAATGCCAAGAAAAATGCTAGTTAGATATTTTGAACGTACACAGAACTCTTTGAATGGGATTAAATATGGCGGTACTTGTACACAATACCAGTGGTCAGAATTCAGAAAACAGGCAAGCCAAACCAAAACTTGCTGATAATGGATGTTCCCTCTGATAAAGTTCAAAATCAGAATGCCTAAAAAGGGTTCAGGCTAAACTGTGATTAGTGAAAGGACACTCCCTCCTTTTTAGTTTCTCTTTTTATCCCTCATAAATGAAAACCAGCTTATTTTCACCAAAGCCCATGTTTGACAATTTGACAGTTTTTCAAATGCACATTATGACATCCAATGAAGAAATAAATACACTTCTCTCCATCTTTTAGTGGTCTTTCAGAGCAGGTCACCACTGCTCACATGTATTCTTCCAGCTTTGGTTTATTGTCCACCACAACTGATCATTTACTGCATTCCTTTTTTCGAACTTTTGATTTTGGTGCTGCCACAAAGGGAAAAAAAGTCATTAGTATTCAATAATATACAATCCTATATGAATTAGGAAAATAGTGCAACCTACCATTTGGATTTTCTTGCCTGTAGAAGGTTTTCAGCATTTCCACAGCTTCTTCAGATCGATAACCAGCTATGCACTGTAGAGGTTAGAATAGTTTGTTTAAAAACTTATTCTTAGAACTAAAATTAAACAATGACCAAATCTGACTTGTGTAGCTACACAAATGCTGTAACATTTGGATTTAAAGAATCCTACATTAAGAAATCACCATAGATATGATCAGTTTTACTCTGAATAACTTTGGGTAATTCTCCTCCAAAAGTTACACCATTTGTGCTACAAGAACATAGCTAGGGAAAAGGACTGGGGACAATTAGAACATTTTCTTCAAAGAAGAAAAAGCATTGTTAGTAAAGGAATTTAAAAGGTCAAATCAAAGAGATCGATCTTGACATCTTTTCTAAAAGCAGAGAGAATGGGAACCATTCACAGTTTTGAAAGAAATGTGTTCATGTATTCGGGATAAGGCATATCTGCCGAGCTGGTCTTAGCAATGGCGGGATCCTCAGGAGGGCCTCCTTTTTAAAGCCCTCATACTTCCTCAGAATTCTTTCCAAATCACCTGGTTTGTCCCAATTGGCACAAATTCTCACAAGTGACATGTACCAGCAGATATTGACTACAGAACTGCCCCTGGAGACATTATATCACTGCATATAAGAACACAGGTCTAAATAACAAAGGACACTTATCATCCACGTCCTGCTTGTCAACTTACCAGAAAAATATAGACTATCATTATTAGTAACACAATTTGTTGGAGCAGGATCAAATTACATGCACCAGAGAATGGAAAAATTACTTTTTCAATCAGAATTCTCATAATCACCTGGCCACAATGTAATTGGCAGCTGTAATTCAAAAAAGGATCATTTCTCGGTTGTGAAAAGTCTGTGCACATTGCTCATTCCTTTTCCAATCAATGTGGGTTTGTTGAGCTGGGACTGTGAAATCTACATCAAGCCTATATTTCTGCCAAAAAACACCTCATCTCCATGGATATCTTCTTCTCCTAGCTACTAAGGTTTCCTTAGCCCATCAAAACAGTTGGATGATGATAAAACTCACCCACAAATAATTCCCATATAACATTTATTCCTTGAAATGTGTGAATGAGAATGACAGCATGTGGTCATGAACAGAGGAAGATGCTTTCTGTGAATGCACCAGCTTAAAAAACATCCACCTACATCTGAGAAAGCATTCAACACTGCTAGGCACTGCAAACGCTTAAGAATGGAAAGTGAAAATTCTCTTCTTCAGCTACCACAATGTAGAGCTAAACTGTCATCACAAGGGTTACACACAGGATACATGGAAATGAGGGCGAATCCTACCCTTTACATTTAAAAAAATAGATCTGATTCAATTTCTATGATTGTTTCCAATGATTTGTTTCTTGTCATTTATGTATTGATCATGATTTATTCAGTACATTTAAATTCTGCTCTATCTTCTTTGAAAAGATGTTACATGTAATCTCTTGTGGTCTTCATGAGGGTTTGAGAAGGTTACTGTTTTGAACTACAACTACTGTATAATAGTTGGAATGGATACTTGGAAGACCTTTTTCAAGTTCTAGTTTTTTAGCCATGCACTAATAATATTCACTAATAATATTTTGTTTCATCAATCCTACACAATTAGGGGCTCACAGACCATTCACTGAGCCCAGAAACTACCAATTTCCCTCTCATATTTCTTAAAGTCATAGGAAGATTATACCACATTATAACAATACATTCCATTACAAAGAACTAAGGAATGTGTAAAATGCCATATTACTGGGTAACATCATACTCAACAATTTATATTTGGAAAAAGAGACAAGTGGTTCTAAATTTTAAGATTATTTGTGTGCTCTCTTGCTCTCTGATAGCTAAAATGCAGTTATCATTGTAGAAACAATAACACAACATGATGAAATGTTAACACAATAGATCCACAGAGATAAAACTGAGTAGAGGTTTCACAATTAAAGCACTATCGAGAATGCATGTTTACACAAATCTACCTCTAATCAAACTGCATTTGCTTTACTGGAATCATTTGAAAGCAGAATGACAAGCTTTTTCACCTGAAATGGCTCCCCTGTGTTCGTTAAGGTAGCAGAAGAGATGTTCAAAACAGAACCACAGCCTCCAAATCGTTCATTTTGGCAGCCATATACAACCAGTGGGATTTCTATGAATGAATTAAGGTATTAATCAACTACGAAAAAGAAGCATATTGAACAACATGACCCCGTTTTAACAAAATGTTGAGCCATTACGACACGCCTCCACTGTCAAACCGATTCCTCCTTTGTTTCTCTCCCAAAAACTACTGTTTTCCATAAGCTTTTATGGACTTCTTCATATGCATCTAGTGACTAATGTCCATGAAAGTTTATGCCCAATAAAATGTGCTCATTCTTTAGCCACCAAAAAACTCTTTGTTCTATTTACTACAGCAGACTAATGTGGCTACCCTCTCCCCAAAACTTTTGTGAAGACACACTTATTATTTCCTGATGATATTTTACGCACTCCTATTCTTCCAACTCTGACTCAAGGTCCCCTTCTGCCCTCAACAGGAAAACAAACATGAACTATTCTATATCTGTACCAAATCACCTAAGCCAGAGCCAGGGATGGCACAAACATTTTGGCATGACAGACATGCCATACACAAAAGTTTTTTTTTTTAAAAAAATAGATGAAGGAAACAAATGATAATTTCTTGCTTATTACCAAATTGCCATCTAAGGCAACCTATCTCACCTTGTCCAATGTTGGGGCTGATTTTGCATGAACGTCATTCTTTGCTAGCTTCCTTCATACCAAAGCCTTCTAAGTACGAGTTCCTGTCCACAGGTTGAAAGGCTATAGGATTCTGAACTGCCACATGTTGGGCAATAAGAGGACTACAGCCCTCATGCTTTGCTTATGGGCTTCCCAGAAGCATTTGGTTGGCGACTGTAGGAACAGAAAGTCTGGTTCAGAAAGGACTTTGAGCTAGCCAGAGCGCAGACAAATTACTGATCATGCTGACTGGAATCGTGGCCCAAGTTCTGGATGTAGCACGGTTCTTCTTGGGTTCATAATTGCTTCTATGCAAGCAAATTCCTACAAACTCCTTACATCAAGAAGAAGCTGATCTCCATTAGCTTGTTAGAAAGCTGATAATAAAGTGAAAGTAAAATGCCACTACATCATTCTGTGAAGGATACTCATCATGCGCAGAGCAGCTGCACACATGATACAAGGTTCTACAGTAACATACAAGACTGTGTGCAAAAATACTTCCTCCGGTTCCTTCTTCTGCTGACGACACCAGTCTAGGGCCTGATCAATTGCCACCATTTCTGCATGGCGGGTGGCCTGTGAGGATATAGGAAAACAATGCCAGTAGTTACACCAGACAGCATTTCCCACCCATACACTAACACACACACACACACACACAAACAAACAAAAACTCTCTTTTTAGTTAGAAAATACAATGTAAGATTTCCTACACCAAACAGCAGGGTGAGACAGATGGTCTCAGAGATTTGCAGTCCTCTGTCATGTCTACACCAAGAAAGCTACATGTCTAAATATACATCTGTTCAAAAAGTATAACAACATAAGTGACTGCTCCAGTAAAGGACATATAAAGAAAAGCGTGCTGCTTATATACTGTCCCATAATGCTTGAAGCACTCTCTGGGCGGTTTACAAGTTAATTATGCAGGCTACATATTTGCTTGAAATTCCAATCCTGTTAAGTCGTCTTCTTGTTGTTGTTTAATTTTGTTGTGGTGGATATTATGACTCTACATTTTAGTACAGAGTTTCAAAAACAACAATAGGAGACAGACAGCATAATGAATGATTTGACACGATTGTATACATCACCATATCAATACATAAAGTTAATCGCAACATATAACTGGAACAGACACAAACATCTAATGTGAACAGTACATACTACATCAGTAAAAACAGAAAAGATCATCCACATTCTTGTATTTCCAATCAACATGTATGGATGTGAAAGCTGAACAGTAATGAATGCTTAGAAGAAAAAAATTGTTTGTCTGAAATATGATGCTGGAGAAACGTTCTGTGGATACTCCAGACTGCCAGAAAGATGAACAAGTGGATCCTAGATCAAATGAAGCCCAAACTATCTCTGGAGGCAACAATGATGAAACTGGGGCTGTCATACTTTGGGCACATATGAAAAAGACAATAATGCTGGGAAAGGTGGAAGACAGCAGGAAAATAGGAAGACCAGGTATGGGATTGATTAATTCCCTAACGGAAGCCACAGCCTGGAGTTTACAAAATCTGAGTAGGATTGTTGCGGATAGGACATTTTTGAGATCTCTCGTTCATAGCGCCGCCATATGTCAGAGGTGATTTTATCCTTTGTTACCATGTGTTAAGTTAGTCCCTTTATTAAAAACATCCCTGGACACAACAGGTACAGACATGGCACAGCCTCCCATCTAAACAAGGACAGAGAGGTTAGAGAAGAGGAGGCTATTTGATGAAAGATTTCAGCTACTGGCAAAATGATTTCCCTACTTGTCAGATATTGAGTTTCTATTTTGTATCTAACTCCATCTATGAATAAACATGAGGGAAGAGACAAGAGCTCCTAGTCATAAGACCTCGGCGGACAGCACCAGAGATTGTCTCTCTTTGTAGAGCTTTGGGCAAATTCACATCTCCAGTCATTTCCAATTAAAAACATTTGAAAATGAACTTCATGTCAGTATTTTTCTCTATAGGTGCATTAAAATATATTACATAACATGTATTTTTTATCAATTCTGAAACTGACAAGGCTCCCAAAGCAGTTTTTTTAAATAAATACACATTAATAATAATAAAAACAGCATCAAAAAGAGAAAATGCAGAGCAAGAAAAAACAATAATTATGCATGATTAAAACTGCACAATTGAAAAGCACGGACAAATAACCTGCCTTCAAGGGAGGCCAAGAAAAAAAACAACAGTCTCAGTGCCAAATTAACTTTCCAAGGACAACATTCCAGAGCTGGAATCACCCCAGCCTTTGGACTTACATTCAATTGCAGGAATACCAGAAAAGGGGCTCAGAGGGTGATCTTAATACTTCGACAGATACCAGTGGGCACTCGAATGCTGGTAATAATGTCATGCTGGCCTCAGAAAACAAAATACGGGAAGCAAATACCTCTCCAAGCATTCAAGCTTTTAGGTTTCCATGAGATAATGTGAAATAAAATGAAAATCTAATTTTTTCCATGAGCCATTTATGGAAGATGGCTACTGTAAGGCAAACAATTTAGTCACATCAGGATTGAAACCTGAACTGAATGAAGACTGATGAACCACTTGATGCTTCTGGAATGCTCTGAATTTTGAACCACTTGCCACAGAACCCATTTGAACTTCCTGAAAATAGATGGCACTGTTTTGCAGCAGTTCTACTATCAGGTTCTTTTGAAAACATAACAGTGAGGGAATTATGATTATCCCTTTTACCATTACTCCATCCGTATCAAATTGTTTTATTTTGTCTGTGTCTATGTGGAAGGGATGAGAGGGTGGTCTGGAGTACAGTATCACTACCCTTTTCTGCACACACTTTAGAGACAAGAAAATAATTTAGAATTATTAATGGACTAGCATGTTCTTTTCTGAATGACTAAGATTTTGTTTGTGTCATCTATACTGACAATTTTTGGGTTGAATTATAACAACATAACATTGGACTGTGCCTTCTGGAAAGGCAGTAGCAGAAGATCTGCTTTGCATGTAGAAGGTTCCAGGTGCCTCCAAGTAAGACTTGGAAAGATGGCTGGTTCACATGCTGAGTGCTGCTGCCAATCAGGGTAGACAGCATTTCAGAGCCTGATGAATCAACGGTCTAACCGTAAATAAGGTACATCTGATATTCTTAGCGTGAAGAGGTATGATATTTTGATGGGCCCGGAGGCAATATTTTTTGTGATCAGCACCCATGGCCAGGTACTCAGGCCCAGATTTTAATAAAATGTTTGTTCTTTAAATTACAAATTGAAATTAGAAGCACCCAGTCATTTACTTCTGGGGTTAACTTTGGGGTGGTTCCCTCCCCATCTTCTCCAGGAGCAGAATAAAATTTTTAAAAAAAGACTCATGGAGAGTTGAGGTCCCCCAAAAATGCTCTTGGGAAGCCAGTCACAGAACCACCTTAGTGAGGTGATGCAGGAGCCCCAAATCCAACAACCAGCATGGTTGAGGAATGACATATCACAGACCACAGAACACTAGAAAGATTTTCACTGGCTTTCTGCTTGATCCTGAACTCAGTTAAAAATGCTGATTTTAATCCTTGATGCTATACATATCAAATATCTCTTGTCTTGTACACAAATGGCATGGCTTTTGGAAGCAATCTGCCTCATGCTAAGAAATCACTGTAACGTTATCTGTTGCACACTGAGTTGTGTGACTAAACCCGCAACTGATGATGTCTACAGTGCTTTCCTGACTTGAGGCAATTTGCCTCCACAAGTTGTATCATTTTCAAAGCTAGGCAAGAGGATTTTGTCCAATGGGTTTCTGTCAATGTCACACAAGTGGAAATGTGTTCATGGAACAGGACGTCCCCCTCCCTTCCCATCTCAATATCTGCTCTAGCAGTTTCTCCAGACTTTCTATGGTTGATTAGGAAGAGATGCTACAATGAGAAGGGATCCATTCTGCCACTACCATCTGTTCCACTTGTGGGTGGACACACCTGGATGCAATCCAAAGCTCTGTGACATTCTGAGATTAGAGTTAAAAATCACATATACTAAATGCCTTGTAGAAAAGAAAATGTGTCATAACATCGCTAAAATGAAGTTCAAGAGTTGAGAGGTAACTTCAGCACACATCGTATTTTGAGATTAGAGTTAAAAATCACATATACTAAATGCCTTGTAGAAAAGAAAATGTGCCATAACATCGCTAAAGCAAAGTGAAGTTCAAGGGTTGAGAGGTAACTTCAGCACACATCATATTTTCCATGCTTATCAACTTGACCAGAAAGAAAAAGGAACAGTAGCACATGGGAATTCCAGATGCAACAGTATTTTTATCAAAATGGTATTTGATTCTTTGAAAGGTTTTACAAGGTGCACTAACTATTCCAAGCATTTAAAACAGTTTTTGAACATTTTAAGACACTTTTAAAATAGCGAAAACAGAACATCGCTAAGCGAAACAGGGGACCTAAACTGTCATCGCTAAGTGAGGCAAGGTCCCGAACATCGCTATGTGAAATTTCCCCATAGGGAACATCGCTAAACGGCATACAAAATCGCTCCAAAAACCTCATCGCTAAGCGAATACATCATTAAACGAGGCAATCGCTAAGTGAGGCACCACTGTAAAAGGAACAGTAACACATGGGAATTCCAGATGCAACAGTATTTTTATCAAAATGGTATTTGATTCTTTGTTTGGGCAGCTTACAGTACAGTCTGATGGCAAAACAATCACTAGCAAATGGGTTGGCTACTGAAAACAAATAGTCAGCGTTTCCTCTATAAGCACAGCAACTTACTTGAGTATATGTCACTTACAACTCACACAGGATGGTTTTTAGAACCAGAACAAAGGACAATTCTTGTATCAACATAGGGATTTTTTAAAAATTCACCTATGTAGTGATTGGCTTGTACAGACTGAATTTGGTCAGATAACTTACATTTTTAGTTTCATTTACTTCATTCTTTCCCTTCCCTATGACCGAATTATTGTAGACAATTAGGCAACCAACAGGCACTTCACCGTTGTCCAGTGCTTCTTTAGCCTGTGAGATACACATAAAAGAATTAGCAAAAGCAAAATTAAAAGGGATGTTAGTGCATCTGCTGCAAAAGTACATTCTGCAGAAATATATTCAACTGGAGCTCTCCTAACAAACATTCCACAATGCACAATAAACAAGAATCAAACAGCAGACACCTTAAACAAGACAGAACAATACACAAATGTATCCACAATAAATAAAAATTATTGATGAAACAGATCAGGGAACAAAGTTGGTTTATGATACAATGGCTGGAATTCAGTTTTGCAAGTTATGCCATTCAACTATGATGATGTTATCAGTCGTGGCCATACCATGGTCATTTCAGGATTAAAAGCTTCTTATTCCCCACACGCCAGGTTGCAGAGATCGCTAGGGATCCCTGATTTGAAAGCCAAAAAAAAAAAAAGATGGCTAAGAACAGACTACAGCAGGACTGGTCCCAACACCAGCAGTTTCCATGTTCTACAATTCTCAGAAGTTCTTCTAGGATAAAGGGGATCCTGACAGTAGAGAGAGGAAATAGAAAGCTTTTAATTTCTCCAAAATAGCCATGGCATGACCTCTACTGTTGATGTCTTCACAGTTGCATGGTCTAACTTGCGCAGCAGGATTCTGGCATTGACTACAAAAAGGGAGAGAGAAGGACAGCAGAACTCTTATAAGCTCTGTTAAGAAACCAGCCGTATTAGGCTTTGCCATTGGCCATCCATAGACATTCCACCAGGCTGAGGAATCACATACCATAACATGAAGACCCTGTGCTTGAATTTCTCAGTTTTCATTTTCTGGCCTCACACCATCTCAACACATGTCCTATCTTTTTGTAATGTAAACCAGAAGGCAATATTTTGGCCTTTATTAAATCACTGCATAAGGCAATCTGAGAGTCTTACATCTATGGAGTAGGCTAGATATGCTATAAAGAGAGAACAAAACCAATATCAGCCTCAGAATATTTTTCTCACAAAATTAAGATCCTACTAGCCCATATTATAGCCGATTCAGTTCCCTAACATTGATTGAGGTCATTCACCCTTGCTCTTACATAAGTGCTGGATTTTCTTCACTTTAATGGAAAATATTTGTGGTTTCAGTGGTATATATTTGATACTACGAGATCAATGGAAACTATTCAGTTCCATACTTTTCATGCAGCTCAACCACAATGGGCTTTCAAGACAATCAAATTTTGAATTCAGTTCTGCAGAGTCAGACTCTAGAGTAACCTCTGTGCTGTCATGCATATGCTGTTTATTAACTGCAATAATTGAAGATGCCTTCCTCACTGATGAAAACATGTCTGAATATTCATGTCACTAGATAGGTAAAGGTAAAGGTTCCCCTTGACAATTTTTTGTCCAGTTGTGTTCGACTCTAGGGGGCGGTGCTCATCCCTGTTTCCAAGCCATAGAGCCAGCGATTTGTCCGAAGACAATCTTCCGTGGTCACATGGCCAGTGCAACTTAGACACGGAACACTGTTACCTTCCCACCAAGGTGGTCCCTATTTATCTACTTGCATTTGTATGCTTTCGAATGGCTAGGATGGCGGGAGCTGGGACAAGCGACGGGCGCTCACTCCGTCGCGTGGATCCGATCTTATGACTGCTTGGTCTTCTGACCCTGCAGCGCAGAGGCTTCTGCGGTTTAGCCCACAGCGCCACCACGTCCCTATGTCACTAGATATAACATGTATCCATATTCATAGATCATTATCAGCCACTCACTTCAATATTTAGTTGAGAAAACCAGGATATCTAATAATTCTTTTTAGAAACATTTATAATGTTCGTGGGAGGGGGTTGACTATGAAAAAGAAACATAATGAGTAAGATAGGAAACAAACCACCCCCTGTCACACCCAGAAAGAGTAAATAAGGAAGAAAATAAAGCAGCAGAGAAAGAAAAAACAAAACCAGCAACAAAAACACACAAAATTTCACCCCCTGCCCAAACCACTCCCAAACACTTCTGTGTTGTAAGATAATTTTCTTTCATCAAATAACTTGTATTTTTGTAATAATAATTCCTAGATATTTCACTTGTTGTACCTCTTAGAAGTTAGTTATTGCTACTAATCTTTCTATGTCTTCTTTCTTTATATTTTTAGTCATGAATTTTTTTATTGATAGTTTGAGGCCTGCTACAGCTCCAAATTCTTCTCTAGTTCTCACTAATGCTTCCAGACTGTCCAGGGGTTTTTCTAATATTACAGCTAAATCATCAACATATGCTTGCAGCTTAAATTTTTCTCCCCTGATTCTAAAACCCTTAATTCCAGCATTCCGTCTTATTTATCTATTTAGCATATCTAATGTTAGAATAAATACTAACGGAGAGAGTGGACAACCCTGCCTTGTGCCTTGTTCAATTTGAAGGTTTTCGGTTAGATGACCATTGATTTTAATCTTGGCCTTCTGTTTAGTATATATTGCTTTGTTTGTAGAAAAATTCCTTTTGCTCCCATCTTCTTTAATTGCAGCAACATAAACTCCCAGTCAACATTATCAAAGGCCTTTTCTGCATCTAAAAAAATTATCATTTGCTTTTCTGGATGTGTTTCATAATATTCCAAAAATGTTTATTGATCTTATATGATAGTTTTCTTTTAGGGATGAAACCTGTTTGGTCTTTGTGTATCATTTCCATAAGCACCTCCTTTAGCCTTGTTGCCCAAATGGTCATATATATCTTATAATCAACATTCAGGAGATTGGTCTATAATTCTTGATTTGTTTCCCCCCCCCCCGTCCCCGCTTTATGTATTAAGGAAATATGTGCCTCTTTCCATGAATCTGGGATTTCCCCTCTAGTTTAAATATCTTCTATTAATTTCTTGAAATATGGACTTAAAGTTTCTTCAAATGCTTTGTAATATTCAGCTGGAAATCCATCTGGTCCAGGGGCTTTCCCATGTTTCTGTTTTTTCCATGTTTCTCCAATTTCATTTGCCGTGATCGGTTTATTTAAATTTTCCAGTTGCTGAGGAGTAAATCTCCAATCTTAAAGTTTGTCCAAATAATTCCATTGTTGCTCCTGTTCAATCTCTTTTTGTAAAGACTGGTACAGAAGTTTTTTATTTCTTTTTCGATTTCCTTTTGTTTATATATTTCCTTTCCTTCTTTAACCAGTATTGCATTGATTACTGGTTTCTCACTCTCTCTTTTTATTCTATATGTTAACCATCTTCCTGGTTGGTTGGCATTCTCAAAAAAAATTTACCTTGCAAATTTAATTTTTTTCCATTTCTTCTTGTTCTAGTAAATTAATTTTATGTTGTAGTATACTTATCCTGTTTTTAAGGTACTTAGCTGTAGGTGTTTTCTTTAATTCCATTTCTTCTTTCTTTAGAGATGTTATTACAATTTGATATTGTTTGTTTCTCTCTTTTTTTCCTTTATGCATTAAATTCTATCGCAAAGCCATGAAAATAGGCTTCGGCTGCATCCCATATCATTGTCATTTCTGTATCCTGGGGTTTATTATTTTGAAAGAAAAATTCTATTTTTTATTTTATTTTAATCAGACATCTGATTAAATCATCTCTCAATAGCACTCTTTGAGACACCTCCCTGTCGCTTGGATACTGCCCTGGCCTCGAAATGCGAAGCCATACGTTGCACATGATGGGAGGGCACATCAAGCGGGGAAGTGTTACAGGAAGTTATAATTTCGAAATACTCAAGCGTTTATTTGAGGGAGAAGAAGCCTCTGTATTCACCCCTTGACTTACTAGCACAACAGATCAAAGCATTCGGAAGAAAATAAAAGTCGTAGGAAGCAGACGTTGTAGTCCGCCGGTTCCTACGCTGCCTTTGCAAGATGCATCTGACTTAAAAGCCTTTCCTCCAAAAATAAAATAAAAAAAGTTTGTAAGTTGCAGTCTTTCCGATGCCATATTGTCTTTTGCTTTTAAAGCTACAGGCATACGGCCGTCCTCTTACCATGCTGACAGCTCGGTCCATCCAGACCGCGGCCTCTCCAGCGGCCGCCGCGCGCCCACTCACCGCTTCCATCTCTGACGTGAGCAAGACATACATAAACCTCGCTGCTGCTCCCCGGAACGAGGAATCGAGAGCTAAAGATTCCGGGGGACCTGAATCGAGAGAGAACCACAAAGAAGGGGAGGACTCGAAAACGGTAGGACGCCGAGCAATTCAGTGGGCCATCGTGGACGTAAGCGGCGTACGAGAGAGAACGGGGCGGCGCCGCCTCCTGCTCCTCCAGCGCGACGGTGACAGGCGAGGGAGGCCGTAGCCGGCCTGGGGTTTCGCCGCCGCCGCCGCTGCCGAGATGCTGCTGGCCGTCTGGGGCTTCCTGAAGCGCCACAAAAAGAAATGCTTCTTCCTCGGCGCTTTCCTGGGCGGTGAGTGATTTACACCGCAGGCCACGAACGTGGTTGTCTTGCCTTCGAGTGCCGCAGGACGCCGCTCCCCCTTCTCCTCAGCACACCGACGCCCCGTCCCCGCTCCGCCCAGTCCGGTTTTGGCCGGGGCTCCTGCCGGCTTTGACATCCGGACCTCCCGGTGCCCCCCCGCCGGCTGCCTTCGTCCTCTCCCGCCGCCTTTGGGACCCCCTTCCCGTGCCCCGCTCTGCCCTCTTGCACCCGGAGCCTGCCTGTTTTTTATTTATCCAGCAGTCATTCCCCGGTGTTGAGTAAGCTGGCTTCTAGATAAGTGTGTATGGAACGACGTCTGCCTTTAACTGCCTGCTTCGATGACGATACTTTGCCTCTTTACTCTTAAGATTTTGATTTCACCGTGCCTTGTCTTGGTTACACCAACACCAACCTAGTAAGGCAGGACAGCGGTTACATTCCCCTCTTAACACTTAAAAGGCTGAGAACGAAAGATGGTCGCTGGCCCACTTGCTCTTTCCGATGGTCACTGCAACCCCTTTTCAGGCTGAGATTGCTCAGCTCTTTCATTTTATTTCATGTACTGTATCATATTCGGCATACTAGGGTTGTTCTGCCTTTTTTATTTATTTATTTTGCCTTGAGAAGCATTCCTCCATCACTTATTACAGATTATAATAAGGCATGGGTTACAAGTTGAGGCCTATTTGTTTAATTAGACTGCCTGTTCCTAATTAATATCTCATTGTCCACAGCTACATACATAGACTCATCTCTTCTTTCTTCTAAATCATATTTTTCCCACTCATTTTTATACTCTCTTCCTGAGATTGCTGCCTCCCACGCAAAAGTTGGACTCCTCTATGTTGAAATGTGTTATTTCTTTTTCAATGCTTCTCTGAATATTTCTTTTCGCTTTTTGCCACTGTATTTTGTCCCAGATGATTGAAGCTAATTGGAGAGAGCATGTCAGGTGCACGCTGTGAAAGCACTGTTTTCACCCAAGTGTTATACACCAAGGGTTAGTTCTGTGTTTGCATGCAACTGGCTTATATAATAGCATCATTATTAGTGTGCTTGATCTCTTCAGACATATTTTAACAGAATATCTTTCTGGTAAAATATTTTTTCTATAAGCCTGTTCTCAAAACATGCAAATCTTTTCCAATTTAATGTGATTTTAAACTTTGGCCAAATGCTTGAAAATAATAGAGAGTTCATAAACTGTCTTCCTTGTGGCAACAGTAGTACTTCATTCAGAGTGTGTATTTGAAATGCTATAATCATTTGGCCAAAATTCTCTTGTTTAGCTACACAAATGGCATAACGTTTCGAGACAGGTTGCCCCAAGAAACTGTTCCAGACATCAGAAGGTATGTGCTGAATCACAAAACTGTGCAACAGGTCATATCTAAATCCTGTTGTGCGGTTCTGTGTATGCAAGACAGAGCTGCAGCAGTGGTAAAGCATGACAGAGTGGAAGTGCTATTCACAGAGCATTTCTGCATGTACAAAGTAACCCACTTAATAAGCACCTATAGAAGCCCAGAGTACAGCTGATTGCTTCTGCTCAGAAAGGGTCATTTGTGGTCTCTGGTTCTGCTGGGCAAGTTCTCCAAAAAAATACCAAACAGAAATCCTTCCATGATTGCCCAGAAGGGGCAGGTTGACAAAGAGGAGCTGGAGGATCAGTAGAGTCAGAGCGGGAGAAGGCAAGCCTTGGCAAGATCTACAGCTAGCCAGGTGCATGTGTGTATGTGTACACACACACCTGCACTTTAAAAAAATGATTTATGTTGTGAACTGTGTGGCCTTCAGTTAGATGGGTTGTATATAAATAAAATAATAAAATAAACACCACACTTCTCAGTCCTCCCCAGCTCAGCCACAAGAATCTGTTTCATGGGAGCTAATCTGATTGCTCAATCTGGACTGCGTGGGCATCATGCCCAGCAAATTTACACAGGTGTAACTTTACATTATGCAAAGACAACAGTATTCTGTCCAATGTCTGCAGTGATTTCTTAGTTTAGACAATTCGCCTCCAAAAGTTAGTATTTGTTTTATGCCAGCAGAACTAGATGAATATTTTGGCCGTTGTCTTCAATTCAGCTTTTCTCATCCTGGCAGGCATCACTTCCTCAAAGTGAAGACTAACTTCCATGATTCATTCACTTCCATGTACAGAAGGGCATAGGTTTCCCCAACACCTCATAAAGGCTGTCCTTTGCACATTTGCTTGTGTGCCCAATTTTGCAGCTAGCAGTTACTGGTTACACAAGGAATAATCTGCTGAAAGGGAAAGTTGTGTGATTGCGTCTCTGTGTTAACACAGTCCAGCACATATCTGGCCTATATATTAAACTCCTTGTCTGGTTGCCATTGTGCTATCTAGAAAGTGGAAACTAGTATGAAAATTAAGTAAAGTTTTAGTCTTTGCACTGTTTCTGTAAAATTCTACTAGGAAAGGATCCAGTTATACTTATTATCACTTAAATCTCATTGTGTAAACTTGTTCTCGGTAACTTCTTTTTAAATACATTTCAAAAGAGAGATTTCTTCTAAAGTAGATCAAAATAATGGAGGACAGAATTTATGGAATTTTATCCTTTTTCTAAAACTCTTTATATAGGAGTTTATGTGCTTGGAAAATATGGACAGAAAAAAATGAGAGAAATTCAAGAAAGAGAAGCAGCGGAATACATAGCACAAGCACGAAGGCAATATCATTTTGAAAGTAACCAGAGGACTTGCAATATGACAGGTAAGGAATAATAGTCTGCAGTAGTCATACTATGTTTTTTATAAATTCTAAGGGCAACTCAAAGTTTCTACTTGCAGGAGGGTGTGTGTTTATAATAGATATGCAGTATCACATGACTATCTTCTTTTTCAGTTGATAAATGGTAATCAATGGTCCCAAATAAAGATTGACACTCTTGTGTTTTGGTGGTTCTGGGCTTTTCAGGCTCTTTGTCCCCTGAAGATGCCGGCCACAGAGACTGGCGAAACGTTAGAAAGAACAACCTTCAGAACACGGCCAAAGAGCCCGAAAAACCCAGAACAACCATTAGGTCCCGGCCGTGAAAGCCTTCGCGAACTCTTGTGTTTTCTTTCTACTTGACACCTTATTTGGGCTACTGCAGTCCTTCTGTGTTAAGTTTCTTATTCTTTCTTTTGAAGCAATTATGTCTCCACTGAGTTATCATTTTCATGGGCTAAGTAGGGTCTTTTTTCTCCTAGTACTTTTTGGCCTTCATAATTTGAACAAGAATAAGCAAAACACTAATTTAAGTTTTCAACACATAAATAAATCTTTGAGAATACAGTGGTGCCTCGCTTAACGAGTGCACCATTTAACGACGAATCCGCATAGCAACGCGTTTTTTGCAATTGCTAATGCGATCGCATTGTGATGTTTTAATAGGGAAAACATCGCATTGCAATGATTGGTAAGCGTTTCGCTTACCGATCTTCACATTGCGATGTTTTGGGAACAGCTGATTGGCGGTTCCAAAATGGCCGCCAGAAGAAAAACTAGCTGCCCGCAGCGCGTTTCTTATTCTTTCTTTTGAAGCAATTATGTCTCCACTGAGTTATCATTCTCATGGGCTAAGTAGGGTCTTTTTTCTCCTAGTACTTTTTGGCCTTCATAATTTGAACAAGAATGAGCAAAACACTAATTTAAGTTTTTAACACATAAATAAATCTTCGAGAATACACTTAAAGAAATATTGTGCTTTTTTCCAATTGTGTTCTTCTCAAGTTTTGCTTTTAAAAAACAAATCAGATGGAACTTCTTGTAATTTTATGGTGGCTATACTAAATAAATGCTTTTGGAACTGTCTTGATAGAATTGTATCACAACTGAAATTTTGTTTTTAAGATTCTTATGATTCTTTTACACATGAGTTAAAAGTTGATCATTTTTAATGTGTTGTTGTATTCTGATATTTTCTTCATTTATTTTCTGTTGTTAGTTCTATCAATATGGAACTTCTTGTAATTTTATGGTGGCTATACTAAATAAATGCTTTTGGAACTGTCTTGATAGAATTGTATCACAACTGAAATTTTGTTTTTAAGATTCTTATGATTCTTTTACACATGAGTTAAAAGTTGATCATTTTTAATGTGTTGTTGTATTCTGATATTTTCTTCATTTATTTTCTGTTGTTAGTTCTATCAATACTTCCAACAGTGTTGTTGTATTCTGATATTTTCTTCATTATTTATTTTCTGTTGTTAGTTCTATCAATGCTTCCAACATTAAGGGATGCTTTGATGTATCAGTTGAATTCCGAGAGTCTTACTTCTCTACTAAAAAATAAGTAAGTTTGCTTTGAATGTGATTCTCTAAATTTGGGCTACACACTTACATACTTTTACTGAAATTCTGTGGCTTATAGTAAGCCTAAGAATCACTGGGAATTTTGTGAGTCCATTCCTCTGTAAGATCCATTGATTCAATGGGCCTGCTCTAATTGCATCTTCTGCTAAACAACAGAATTTCATCCAGTGATTAATTAATCTCTACAATCTGATTGTGTAGATTGTTAAAGTATAATGATAGCTGAATGCAAGATTTAAACTAACATAGGACATGTAGCTTCTTCTATGTACAGTGGTACCTCGCAAGACGACAACCCCGCTAAACTATGAATCTGCATAACGAACGACGAATCCGCATAACGATGACTTTTTTGTGGTCGCTATAGTGATTTGCAAAGTCATTCCACTTGGGGGATTTTCGCTGGACATTGATTAGGTCCGTGCTTCGTGAACCATTTGTTTGCAAGACGACAATTTTTACAGCTGATCGTCGGCTTCGCAAAATGGCTGCCCTGTGTTTTCCGGACCCATGCTTCGCAGGGCAGCCATTTTTACAGCTGATTGGCGCTTGCAAAATGGCTTTCCTATGGATGTTCTTTGCTGGATGACAAGGTATTTTCCCCATTGGAACGCATTAAACGGGTTTCAATGCATTCCAATGGGTAAAGGGATTTCGCATCATGACGATTTCGCTAAACAGCGATTTCAATGGGACGGATTATCGTCGTCATATGCGGCACCACTGTATTGAGAACTGTCAAAAACTCTAATATGCTTATCATGCTATTGTATGTTCTATTTAATTTGTCTCATTATGTTTCAATTAGATTGAAAAATGTCACTTAAAGTTTTTATTACTAAAACTAATTAATGCCTGCTTGTGTAAATTTCCTCAGCCCCACAAATATCTATGGTTAATAATTTTTTTAAAATATCAGTTCTCATAATCTGTGTGCCCTTCCCTGTCAGATTGTTTTATTGTTGGGGGCCTGTGGCCTCACTAAAGGGAATCGTTCAGGGCTTAAGTGTGCTCCAAATTTGATGCTGTACTTTAAGGTAGAATGACAGTTGGTTTTCTTTCTCTCAGCTCCATTAATTGTGTATGTTTTCCATTCCTCCCCACCCCCAGACCAGCCAACAAGTTAGAAATATGGGAAGACTTGAAGATTATAAGTAAGTCATTCCTTTTTATGTATATGTACAGAGGGGCTTGTGTTTTTTGTCCAAGTTACAGCTCTTTTTCCCTGCCTGTCTATTGACCTAGTGAATATTGCAAGTAGCTGCAATAAAAGCATGCTTATTCAGAAGTACCTGTTACTTTGTTCAGTGAAACTTATTCCTAAGCAACTGTGCTTAGGTTTGTAGCTTTAAAGTATCACAAATCTGAAGATGTCTCATGAAAATGAAGGAATATGGTTCGTTTTAAAAGTCTAATTCCCTGCAAATTAAACAGGATGCTAGTCTGGTGGATTATACCATCCGAAGATGTCTCATGAAAATGGAGGAATATGGTTTGTTTTAAAAGTCTAATTCCCTGCAAATTAAACAGTATGCTAGTCTGGTGGATTATACCTTATATCTCCACCATATTGTATCTAAATATTCTGTCATCACTTTCCTGTAAATTTTAAATGTCTGTTAATACCTATGCTTTCACGTACTATCTATGGGAATATATGGATCTCTTGTCTTTACAATGCCAGAATTTAATATTGTTGCTGAAATACTTTCCTATTTACATAAAATGTGGCACATTTTGTTTGATTCTCAAAGGAGGCTTTTTTAGTTGTAAAGGTCCTCATGTTAGTGTGTCCTGACACCTTGCTTAGGTTTACAAAACATGACTAAAACTGGAGGTCAAATGTTCTGACTTCCTTCTTTCCTTCCTTCCTTCTGCTTTTGTTTGTAAAACTATTAGCTTGTAAGGTTTAGGTTGAATTCCCTCAAATAATTGCTTTGATTTGTTCTTGAAGGTTTACATGGTCGGGATCCAATGGTTGTTTGGGACTTTTTTTCAAGACCGATGCCTCGCAAGACGAAAAAAAATTCATTTGTCTTTCAAGGTTCCCATAGGAATGCATTGCAATGCATTCTTATGGGAAACCGCTTTTTGCAAGATGATTTTTTCGCAAGACAGCGCTACTCGCGGAACGAATTACATTCGTCTTGCGAGACACTACTGTATTCAGATTTCAGTTGCTGGAAAGTGTGGCTGTCCCTGTGTATCATTTAAAAAACAACAACACACAACTGGCCTTTTAAAGAAGGATACACACAACTGGCGATTTCCAAATGATTGTACTAATTATTGTACAGTGGAACCTCTACTTACAAACTTAATCCATCCCAGATGATGTTCATTAGTTAAAACGTTCATAAGTAGAACCTCTGTTTCCCATAGGAATGCATTGAAAACCGATTAATCTGTTCTGGCTGAAGAAAAATACCTCCCCCCAATAAAATAAAACACTGCAAGTCACTGGTGCTGCAAAAAACAAAACAAATAACAAATTAAACATAAACATAACCCCACCTGCCCAATCCCACCCTGCAGACGCCACCCAAAACAGTTTTAAAAACAAACAGTTTAAAAAATGCAAAAAGCAGCACTTTACTTCACCATGAAGCCTCCTGTGAAGTCTCCCGGCCATGCTCAGCCGCCTAAAACAAAAACAAATTAAACATAAACATAACCCCACCTGCCCAATCCCACCCTGCAGACGCCACCCAAAACAGTTTTAAAAACGCAAAAAGCAGCACCTTACCTCACCACGAAGCCTCCTGTGAAGTCTCCCAGCCATGCTCAGCCGCCCGGACTCCACCACCATCAAAATCACTGTTGGCGGGAGCTCTCCGGGAGGCCTCCCAGGCTTCCACTGCTGTCTGGCCTGGGCTTCACCACCGCTGCCTGGCCGGGATGGGTCCTCACCTCCTGGCCGGGATCTGGCTCCCGGAGGGCCTCCTGTGCTTCCATTGCCGTTGCTGGGAGGCTTCCACCACCTGCCGCCTCCTGCTCCAGCAATGACTGCCTGGCCAGGAAGCGCTCACCCGCCCGCTGGCCACCTCCTGCTCCTCCGCAGTCCAAGCCTTCCCTCCGGGCAGTAGCACTTGCCTGGCCAGGAAGCACTCGCCCACCCGCCACCACATGCTCCTCCGGAGCCCCAGCCTTCCCTCCAGTCAGCAGTCCCGGAGGGCCTCCTGTGCTTCCATTGCCACTGCTGGGAGGCTTCCACCACCTGCCACCTCCTGCTCCAGCAATGCTCGCCTAGCCAGGAAGCGCTCACCCACCCACTGGCCACCTCCTGTTCCTCCGCAGTCCAAGCCTTCCCTCCAGCCAGCGATGCTGCTCGCTTCCCCGCCAGACTCCGGGAGGTAGAGCCCGGCTGGGAAACGAGCAGTGTGGATGGACCCAGCAGCAGGAATAAGAGACCAGCTTGGATGCGTCCTCGCCTCCTGGCTGGACCACCACCACATCCTTTTCCTGAACTATTGGGACGAAAGAGCTACAAAGAAGCAGCCTCTTCGCCACCAACAGTTAGTTTTTTTGAATTTCCCACCCCTTTCCCCTGCCTTTTTTTGTTCGTAGGTCAAAGCTCCAGCCGCAAGTCAAAGCAAAATTTTGCAGCCGGAGCTGTTCATAAGTCAAATTGTTCGTAGCTCAAAGCATTCGTAAGTGAAGGCACCACTGTACTTTGATTCTTTTTATTTAGATATTTATTAGGAGTCTCTTTTGTGTATCTTGGACTCCAGCTCCCAGGATTCTTCACAAAGCTTGCAGAAACCTCCAGGAGCAATAATTTATGGTTCGAACAAAGCAGAGGCCCTGCACACAAGGTTTTAATATTTTGAAATACTCATTTTCAAGCCTTTTAACTAATAAGGAGGGAGTTGGAGGAGGGCAGAAGGCAGATTTAAAAGCCTTGTGGGCTACGTGCAGCTTCAGGACCATACTTTGCCCACTCCTGAGTGACCTGCAAACTGGTCTTGCTGACTCTTTTGAATATCAAACATTTTAGGGCTTTTTAACCAAACATTTTAATTATTTTTACCAGCTTCCTTCTATTATGTTGCAGTGCCCAGAGCAAAATCTGTCGTGACTGTAGCAGATAATGCCAAGGAGATTTTATAACTTCCAGCAATTCACCTACAAAAGTTTTGTCTTTTCTATGACAGCATGAAAAGATTTTGCCCAATATACTATATATTATTTTTTTTCAGTGATTCTGTATATCAATATAGGACCACTCCTTTTTATTTAGCATTGAGGCAACTTTGTTTGTTTTATTAAAGGTTTTACAAGAAGCATTGTAGCTGTGTATAGCACATGTATGCTTGTAGTTCTTTTACGAGTCCAATTAAACATTATTGGTGGATATATCTACCTGGATAATGCAGCAGTTTGCAAAAATGGCACAGTAAGTAAATTATTTGAAGTGTATAATATCAAGGATTGTGACTCCATAAGATTGGTGGTGGCAACTTTATAGAATCCAGAAGAACGTTGTACTAATTTAAATTGCATTGAAATAAAATGATATATTGAATTTATGAGTATGAGAAAATTTATTCAGTATTGAGTTGAGGCTAATTATCAGGGACAGAATGTTGCTAAGAAGTAGGAAAGATATATAATTGGAAAAAGATGTCTATATGTGGTCACTTCGTATTGACCAGGTTGTCAATATGGCGTTGGAAGGAGGAGTGAAACTTGAATTCTGTGCTTCTATTGGGGCTTTCAAAGGCAGGTCTTTCTTGTAATTTGAAAAGGTTCATAAGACTTTTTGAAATGATTTGAATTTTTCTGTCCTCTGCTGTTCTGTATTCAAAGATGGTTTAGGATATCTTGAGAGTGGTACCAGCAGCAGGAAAGGAAAGAGAAGGCGAGGGGAGGGGAGTTCTGCATCCTGATTGACTATACAGACTTGGAGAATATCCATAGAATACAGAAACATTAGAGAATGTTTTTCTTCTCATAGACACTTCTGGCTCCCCCTGAAGTCCAACAGCAATATTTATCGAGTATTCAACACCTTCTGGGAGATGGTATGATTAGTTTTAAATTTTATTTTACACAGTTCTGCTTTCTGCAATTTTGAACATATGGCATGTAGTCCTTAGTAACTTTTTCTTCCTATCCTAGGTTTGACTGAATTAATTACTGTGGTTAAAAAGGCTGTGCAGAATGTATTTGGGAGGTAAACAATATTGTTGTTTTAAATAGAATTCTAAAGTTGTAATGCATATTTAAAACAAGTGATGGGTATGCATGACATTGGTATGAATTTTTTGAAAAAATTCTTCCCATTGTAGTATTTCTCTGAAACATGCTCTTTCCCTCTTGGATTTGGATGAGAAGCTAAGAGAAATTAGGAGAGCAATAGAACAACCTGAAGACAAACTCTCATCTGAAGAAACTGGGTCCCAGTCTCTGCTGTGTCGTTATATGTTGCCAGATGAAGAGAATCCTTTAGCTTCCCAGGTACTTGCATATTAGTTGGAGAATCAAATGAAATCCAGAAACCGGTTCAGAGATGCTGGTTTGATAACTGCATCTGTTTATTTTCTTTAACTAGAACTTAATTTCAATTCTGACATTTGGTCGTTGGCTTCAACCTGACACAGAACTAAATTTTCCCCAAACACATTGATTTAAAATTAGCCAGGTGTGTCTACTGTAGCACTGTCCAAGTTGCCTTTATGTTCTGTCTCTCTTTCCAGGCCAATGGACTTACCGAAAAAGATGTTACTACTATTAAATTACTCAGTGAAACAAGGGACATGTTGGAAAGGTATGCAACACTGCTAGTGTGATCAGCTGTATTAATGCTTGACATCTTGTTCCTCTTAAGTAAAAATATAGGAAGTCACTTTGGCTGAAATTTGGTGGCATGTTCATGTACAAATAATCTGAGTTTAACGTGCAGCTTTCTAATAGCTCCTTATACTTATAGAGAGTGTTCATTTATATAACTAGGAGTTATATATATAGGTCACTCTAAATGCAACATTCCAGAGCCTCCAAACCGTGCAGTCACATCTTTATGTGCTCCATTCTCCTTTACGCCCCAACTTGCTTCAGCTTCTTCCTCTCTCAGCCATAGTTTGAGCAACCATGATTTGCTGTAACATCTAAACTAGGCAAATACAGCTTGCTTCTAAATCAGGGATCAGGGAACTTTTTTACCTTTTACCCCCCCAAAAAAAATTATATACGCTGACATTACCCCCTTTATTTGAAAGGAAGGAAATCATACATTATTTGAAATCAAAATCTTATTGAATCTACACAGGCTGTGTGCCGAACTAGCAGGATATATCAATAGTATCAATGGCTGCCAGGCTATGTACTGAACTAGCAGAATGCATCTTTTAATAAAGATGTGCACTATTTTTGCTAGAACACATTGCACTCCAGCCATGGGGTGGTATAGGAAGTAGTAAGGTGTCCAACGTGCGTAGTAAGTTGCATTACATTTTTGCTACCTCACAGAGCATTTAATCATAATCAGTGGTTGCCAGAGTAGTGCTAGCAATGACATGCCTGCTAGAGACAGCCAACGCAGAGTTGGGAGGGGGGCTTTTCCAACCACTTTAATCATTCTGTGTGTGGTGTGCAAAAAGGAACAAACCACCCTGGTGCCACAGCCCAATATCAAAGGACCAGTGTGCTTTTTTTTTATCATCATCAATGGAAAACCCAGCACTGGCCAGAGGATTGGAAAAGATCAGTCTACATCCCAATCCCAAAGAAGGGAAGTGCCAAAGAATGCTCCAGCTACCGTACAATTGTGCTAGTTTCACACGCTAGCAATGTTATGCTCAAAATCCTCCAAGGTAGGCTTCAGCAGTATGTGGACCGATAACTCCCAGAAGTACAAGCTGGATTTCGAAGGGGCAGAGGAACTAGAGACCAAATTGCTAACATGTGCTGGATTATGGAGAAAGCCAGAGAGTTCCATAAAAACATCTACTTCTGCTTCATTGACTATGCAAAAGCATGGCAGAAAGTGAGGAGGAATTAAAGAACCTCTTAATGAGGGTGAAAGAAAAGAGCGCAAAAAAAATGGTCTGAAGCTCAACACCAAAAAAAAAAAAAACCTAAGATGGGCCACGGGCCCCATCACCTCCTGGCAAATAGAAGGGGAAGATATGGAGGCAGTGACAGATTTTACTTTCTTGGGCTCAGTGATCACTGCAGATGATGACAGCAGCCATGAAATTAAAAGACACCTGCTGCTTGGGAGGAAAGCGATAACAAACCTAGACAGCATCTTAAAAAGCCACCCTTTTTTCCCTCCTTAATTCAAGGCTTCTGTTTTGCTTGCCTGTTCCGTTTTTCATAGTTTTGAGTCAGTCTCTCTCTCTCATACACACATCCACCCACACTCCCTCCATCCCTCCATCCATTTTCTGCATACATTTAAACAAGCTTTATGAAGCCGTTGGTCTCTCACACCTTCCTTCCCTCGTTAACTGGAGTCTTTCCCTCCTCTGGCGTTCGTTAACTGGAGTCTTTCCCTCCTCTGGCATAAGCGGTCATTCACAAGCCCTGGATTTATTGACTGCCCAGGGCTATTCTTGATGCGTAAGCAGTCATTCACAAGCCCTGGATTGATTGACTGTCCAGGGCTATTCTTGATTGTAACCATTCAAGCAGGCTTATCTCTGATCTCTGAAAGAACGGATTTACAAGTGCCCTGCCACAACCAAGGAAGTAACAGAGAGAGGTGGCTTACAAATTGGTTGTAGGGGGTGGGGTGGGGGTAGCGCTCTGCTCATTACCCCCAGGATTTTCATTCACAAGCCCTGGATTGATTGACTGTCCAGGGCTATTCTTGATTGTAACCATTCAAGCAGGCTTATCTCTGATCTCTGAAAGAACGGATTTACAAGTGCCCTGCCACAACCAAGGAAGTAACAGAGAGAGGTGGCTTACAAATTGGTTGTAGGGGGTGGGGTGGGGGTAGCGCTCTGCTCATTACCCCCAGGATTTTCACTTTTATCGCATTTGGGTTAATTTACCCCTGTTCCCTGACCACTGTTCTAAATAGTGGATTGAAATCTGTTTGAATTTGTGCTGTAGAACCGAATGGATTCATAATAAATTATGGAAAAAAAGAATTAGAGTATGACAGGAAGAGGAAAGAACTTTAAAAACTTTAGATTTCTCAATGGAATGGATCAAGAACATTATGTCTAACTGACCTTATATGTTGGTTCTCTTAAACCCAAATGGCAAGGATCTTCCTGTGTTTGAAAGTTGGACCATTTGTTGGCATTGATGGGGTTCTGTGCCTATCATTCCTTACCTCTTGCCAAGACTGATAAGAGTTAGCAGCATTTTGTCCATTTAGATAACTAACTTAAGTCATATGAATAGTAATTGCTTATCAATAAATTGTGAAACTGTTTCTGCACATCTTCATTAATTATTATTTTATATACCAAGTTTCCCTGAAAATAAGACAGGGTCTTATATTAATTTTTGCTCCAAAAACACATTAGGGCTTATTTTCAGGGGATATTTTTTTCGTGAACAACCATCTACATTTATTCAAATACAGTCAGGTCATCTTTACCACTGTGCAGCAACCAGAAGAGGGTGGGGTTTCACTTAACTGGGGCTTATTTTGGGGGTAGGGCTTATATTACGAGCATCCTGAAAAATCATACTAGGGCTTATTTTCGGGTTAGGTCTTATTTTCGGGGAAACAGGGTATATGCTATTCTTTTCTCCAGTGAGAACCAGTGTGCCCCACAACACAAAAACAATACATATATATCCTAAGTCACAGTAAAATATTTCATATAAATAATATAAGGCAGCAAAAATTAACCATCTAAATAGTATTATACATATTAACATATAAAAATGCTTGCCATATAAGTGCTAGTATAGTAGTTCCTAGCTTCCAATGAACTGCCGAAAGAATTCTGCCTTACATCCCTTCCTGTCATACTTTGCAGGAACTCAGAAAGAGAATTCAATAGCATGGGGTCAACAACACAGAAAGATCTTTCTCAAATCCATTCAGACTGGACTGCTTTGATGTTTGACACTTTTAGATGTGCAGTTCCAGATTACCTCAATTGGTGCAGGGTCTCATGTGGTAGAAGTAATTTAAATAGGTATGCGGATCCCACGCCATTTAGGACCAACACCTTGAATTGTACCTGGGAAACAATTGAAAACCAATGCAGCTTGCACAAAATAGGTGTTGGTGTTATGATGGGAAGCACCTGTTAGTAGCTTCGCTGTAATTTTAGCTTCTGAATTGTCTTCAAGGGTACACCCACACAGAGTGAATTACAGTACAGTAGTCTAATCTAAAGTTTACATGGATTAGCAAGGCCAAATCAGCCTTCTCTAAGTAAGGAGAAAGTTTCTGGACCAGGGACAGATAAGAAAATGCTGACTTGTCCATGATTCCCTTCTGTTTCTCCAGGAAAGCTTGAGTCTAATAAGACACCCAAATTCCTTACCTGGTTCACAAGGAGCATTTTTTTCTCCATCAGTTATTAGAGAAATGGCAGCTGGATTTGTCAATTGATGAGTAACTAGCATTACCTCTGTATTGTCTGGATTCAGCTTAAGTTTGATAATGCTCTGCCATGTGACAATCTCATGACCTACCAGTCCATGACAGGTTTTCCAGGAAGCAGAACCAGGAATAAACTAACGTTAGTTGAGCAAATCACATGTTCTGCAAATCTGCTCAAACTTTAGCAACATATTTTATTGTGAAGTACTTCAGACACCTTGTGAATTCTGTCTAGAACAGACTGAAACTGTATTTCTGTGTAAGTAAAATATCTGTAACTATATATTGTAGAAACAGCCCAGCTCTTCTAATTTTATTTATCTTCAAATTTTCATTATTAATATTCATCTTATGCAGATTAGTTGCAGAGGGTTAAAAATATATCAGTGCTGTCTCTGTGTGATGACAAAATAGGGACTGATGATACAATATAATTTCCAAGGAGCAACCTGTTCATCCTGGGAGTTTTATGTTTTCTGTGTCAGCATCAATAGAAGATTGCTAATAATGTTTGATTTTTTTCATTTATTCTAGCCCAGATTTTAATAGAGTTCTGAGCTCTTGCTTAAATAGAGGATTCAGTAGATTATTGGACAACATGGCAGAATTCTTCCGACCCACTGAACAAGACATGTGCCATAGTAGTTCCACAAACAGGTAAAATGTTTCCATGTATTTTTAATGTGACTTCATTTTACATAGTAGGGAATTTAAGCATAATCCAAATTACAGAAGGTTCTAAAGAAATTAATTTATCCACTAATTAAAAAATGTATAGGTTAATATTTCACAGCATGTAAACTCAGCTATGGAGTTAGATGCTGCTAGCTCTTGTTCCTATTTCTCTTCTGACAAACTCTCTGTAACAATTTTGATTCAGCTCAATATATTTTAGAGTAGGGATTGTTGAATAAGAGCCTCGTGGTGCAGTGGTTAAACTGCAGTACTGTAGCCAAAACTCTGGTCACAATCCAGGTTCAATCCTAGGTAACTGGCTTCAGATTGACTTGGCCTGCCATCCTTCCAAGGTCAGTAAACTGAGTACCCAGCTTGCTCAGGTCGGTGGGTGAGTGGAGGCAGTGTGTTCCCTGGATAATTATAAATTGCTCAGAGAGTGCTTTAAGTGCTGTGGGGTGGTATATAAGCAGCACACTTTGCTCTTGTATTTTTGCTTTGCTTTGAATCAGCATTTTTTAAAATTCTGAAGCTTTTATATAATTTATTATACATCCTATTTCATACCCAAGAAAGGAATATGTTAAAAGTTGCAGGGAGCAGGGGTCCATTATGTTCTTCAATTTATTTATTTTTAGTGTCTTTTAAGAATCAAAAGTATATTTTGCTGTGGGATTATACAATGCTAAAACTTGCATGTTGGCAGTAACTTAGGCTTTCATGTGCTCCATGACAACCAGAGGTCTGTTCCAAGTGGTCTTTGACAGCATTCCCTGAACATGTGTACGTGTTTGCTGCATGGAAAGACAGTTTAGTGTTGGGGAATCTTCTGTGCTTTTGTTGTCATGACAGTACTCTATCTAGTGGGGTTTAAATTCACTAGGACTCAGAACCTTGGCAAATTGAATGAATGATTAAATTGGTCCAGCCCAGGAGGCCGATGGAACCGTATATTTTCTTATGGCTTTTAGGGAACTTTCTGTTACCTTGGTGGGTGATTCTGTCAAAATTTCGTGGTTGTCTTTTGAAAGAGGAAATAGTGGTGGGATTTTTTTAAATTATTTTTTTGGACTACAAATCCTGTAATTCTCCATTCTGGGAGTTACACATGGCAGACACTAAGTGTGGCTCAGCTAGAAGAAAAGCCTAAAATGGATGGCTTTGATGCCTAACTAGGCCTAGCTTCTTTGTTTAGAAGGAAAGCTCCCAGCTAGGACCCAGGCAAGAACAGGAAGTTTAGGCAGAGCTAGGCCTAGCTGTGAAGTGGTGAATGGTAAAAGCCATCTCTGAACCCCATCACTTGGGTAATTACTGGCAAATCTCCAGTATTCCATTCTGGAACACATGGCAGTTTCTTAGCTCCAAGGATTGCTGGATGAAACAGATTAGGTGATATTTCATTCTGTGGAATGGAAAAGCATTAGTCCCCCTAAATGGATTATCTATGCTGGGAACTGGAAGGGGTGTACAGTACAATGCTATGAAAGAACTTACCTGGAATTTATAGATCACTTCAGTTATACAGAAAAATTAATCCGTTCCGGATTAACATCGCTATGCAGAAACATCGCTAAACGGAACGGAAAAAGCCACTTAATTTAATGCGTTCCTATGGCTCCCAAACTCACCGTTCAGCGAAGTTCCTCCATAGCGGTGCCATTTTTGCGCCCTTGGTAAGCGAAGGCAGGGTGCGAAAACACTTGCGGTGCCCATTTTGGGCACCCAGTGGCCATTTTGGAACTGCCGATCAGCTGTTTAAAAAAATCGCAATGCGAAGATCGGTAAGCAAAACGCTTACTGATCATCGCAATGCGATGTTTTGCCATTGAAAACATCGCAATGCGATCGCATTAGCGATCTGAAAAAACAGATCGCTATGCGGATTCGTCGTTAAACGGTGCACTTGTTAAGCGAGGCACCACTGTATTTCTTTTGTCTTTGCTTGGCTATTGATGCCATCAGTCATAGTATTCCTCTGGACCAGTTTTGTGAGGTGAAACACGGAGGCATTGTTTTGCAGTATTTCATCATTCCTGTAACGGCAAATTCAGGTAGTGCTGGGGATTGTTGGTTGATGCCATGGCTGCAGGCTAGAGATGGGGATATTTATACAGTATTCCCATCCCAGGTGGACCTAATGAACTCGTCCTCCCATCCTTGACTGGAATGGCCAGCTGAGCAGGGAGACGGCAGAGCTCCTGCCACCATTGGCGGGAAAAGCAGGACCTTTGCAGTGCTGGGACCTCATTAGGTCCACCTGGGATGGGGGTATTCATATAAATTTATGAATACGAATATCCCCATCTCTACTATTGGCCTGTAGGATCCTTCAAGGCTCTGCGTTGTCCCCATGTAGTTAGCCTTTACATGAAACATCTTGCAAAGCTTGTGTAGCATTTAAAGACAGTGCTATGAAAGAACTTACCTGGGATTTATAGATCACTTCAGTTATACAGAGAAGCCACCTGTATTCCCAAAAAGAGAGAAATGCTGAAAAAAAAGTGACAAACTTTTGTTTATATTACTTGACTTATTTTATGCTGATTAAAACTCCGGAATATATATGATGTTCAGGTCAAAGAGTGTTCAAATATATAAGAATGTTTGACCTGTAAACTTCTGGTGTAGAAATTCTGTATTGGCTGTTTTTCTAGAAATGGTTGTAGTACCTGAATATTAGAAAAGCTAACAAGACAGGACTTTTACACTGCCCAACCATGTCTCATTGGTGCTTTTCTCAACTTAGTCTTTCTAGTGTCAGCCTTCCTTTAGCCAAGATAATTCCAGTAATTAATGGACAAATCCATTCAGTCTGCAGTGAAACACCTAGTCACTTTGTGCAGGTAAGAGGGCCTTGTTTTACTCAGTCTTACTCCATAATTAAGAAACGCATACCAGTCTTTTTGCATAAAGCCTCTTATGTCTTGAAAAGAAATTTAAAACACAAATAGGCCAAAAATAATTATATCTAACAACAGTGGAAATGGACATCAAATTAAGATCTTCACTAATTGAGTGGAATAGCATGTTCTGTCACTACCCCCTTTTATAATAGCCAAATAACCTCCAACTCCGACCCCTACATTTGCTTTTAAAAGGCATTTTTAATGGGGTAAACTCATCCCTTCTTAGAAAGTAGAGGCTTCTTTCTCCTCCAAAGGGCCTGCTTTTCATACACCCACGTACACACTACCTTTAATATCCCAATCTCAAAGGTCAAGGAAGAAATTATTTAACAGGGGCTACAACACGTACAAGGCAATCCACAACCTCCCCCCCCCCAGAAAACACTTTGCAACCCCATTGGGAGTCACACTGGTCTGCTGTAATAAAACAGTGTTACTGTTGTGTGCTTTGCTTCATATTGGATAAATTTAAGACTGTCCGTGAATATGGACAGCGAGCTAGAAATGTGTTTGCTTGCTTTCCATACCTACCTCTAAAAGTCTTTTGTCTTATTAAACTGTGCCACAATTATTTTTATGCCAATTCTGAATATTTTCAGTGCTGTAAACTATCTGTAGTGTTGGTGTAGCATAATCTCAAAAGGTTAAGAACCACTGCTGTAAACTATCTGTAATGTTGGTGTAGCATAATCTGTGATTACTATTTTAAAGTGACAAACCTTATATTTGCTTACTGGTTCTATGTATTTGCTTATGTAAAACAAAAAGCTATAGTAAAACAGCAAGTGAACTAACATCAATTAATTGAATATTCCTTTTAGGACCTGTTAATGATGGAACAAGTGAAAGACTTTGCTGCTAATGTGTATGAAGCATTCAGTACTCCTCAGCAACTAGAGAAGTGAGCTGCCCTGCAAGATGAGACAAAGCCTTTGTAGTACCCCATCATTTTGAATCTTTAATAAGGAAATCTCATTATCTGAATGATTTAGGATTATTAACCTGACAAAAAGGACTAGTAAGAAATGCAACTTCTAGTTTTGATATTGATAAAGATTGCAGCAACTGACTGAAATAAACTTCAGTGAGGAAAAATCAATGTGCTGTACTTCTTTGTATTAAGGCAGTCTTATGGATAAATTGTTTACAGAAGCAAAGAACATTCATGATTATGTTTTGGATGCTATATACGTAGCTTTATAATTGGGCAGACTGCAAAACAAGGGGCTTCTAGATGAAGTTTCTCTGAATGACAGTAGCTCTCAAGTAGAGTAGAATTTGGCCTGCCTGCTTTCTCCACAAGCTGTTCAAGTTATCAAAAGCTTTCCTAAAATGTTCATTATGCCTCCGGCTATATAACAACATCATTGTGTGGAGATTACAGCCAGGCCCTCTGATCACTTTTCTATCTCCTGCCCCAAGTCAGTCTGAGAATGTATAATAGTGGGCCATGTTGCCTTCCATACTTGGGACCACTGGTACTAAGTAGAACGTCTTCTCTCAGTAATGCAATGCTGGGTGCTAGTTCCACTGTTTCAGAGTTGAAATAGATGGTTTCTAGCAAACATTATATTTACGCTGTTTATGAACAGCCACTGCTGTACACATTCATTTTGTAAATATTTTTAACTTGTATTAAGAAGCCCTATGAAATATCTGAATCTCAATAAACTATTTTAAAGATGACTGTGTGCTCTTTAAACATTAAAAAAAGTCTCAGACATTTTTGTGCAATTTTGAACAGGCGAGAAATAACCTTTTGAATTTTTTATAAGAAATAAAGTTTCAGCACAAAAAAGTATATGTGTAAATACATTTTTAAAGTTTGGCATTCTGTTAAAATATTAATCTGTACAAGTAAAGATTTGGTTGTGAGAGAAATAGAGGAATCGGTGCTGCTTTTTCAAGTCCCTGTAAGGACGGGATGATTGAGTAAATAGTCATGGTAAAATAATCAGTACATACTCTTTGTGAATTATTTAGCCAACAAAAGGAATTTAAAGAAGTCATGAGAAATTATAAGATGAAAGTACAAATAAGGGAGGTAGCCTATTGTACTGACAAAAAGATTGAACGAGTAGGCCTCGGTAAGAAGGAAGGAACTTAATAGGTGACTGCAGGGACTTTAGGAAATGGGTGACCACAGGGCGGTTTCTATCCTTATTTGGATAAGGATAGAGGGACTTTAGGAAATGGGTGACCACAGGGTGGTTAGGAAAAGGGAATGTACACCAAATAAGGATAGAAATAAATAAGAGTCTGGGGTCTAGGTAAAGAGAGGAGTGGGAGATGCAAACAGAGGCGGGACTTCCTGTGAGTGGTTTAGACAGGCCGGATAGGCTGTATACCTTAGAGTACCTAACCAGTGGGGAAACAAGGGAGGAACCATGCGGCTGGGAATAGGGGATAAATATCATGCAACCTGTATTGATGGATATGCCTCCCCAGTTAGGACACCCGCTTTTGCAAAAGTGCTTTTAATAAGAGAGCTGCTTGTATTCGTGGTTGTCTTGTTACTGCATTTAAGTAACAAGGGTCTGAGCATTTATCGCAGTTGTAAGGGCAGCTGAGTTCCAATATCAATTGTCCATATAGTTGCTTTAGACAAAATTACCTCTGTAAGGGTACTACATCGATCTCTTTGTACTACTGTATCAGTATTTACATACAACCACCAAATAATCTAACCGGCAAGATTAAATTTTACTGGGGGGAAATATCAAAGCAAATAAGACACATAAAGAAGCACCATAATTCTACTAGTTTACCTTAGGATTCCAAAATTACTGCTTAAATATAAGTGTTTATAACAGCATCCTAGTTTATGTAGATCCTAGCCACTCAGCTTGGATCTACATCAAGACATAATTTCATATATAGAATTACTGCTGCTGTAGCAGACAAGAGTAAATTGAGGTAGGCAGTAGAATCAAGTACCGTACAGTGATGCCTCGACTTACGAACGCCCCTACCTACAAAAATTTCAAGTTACAAAAAGCTCTGGCCGCAAAATTTTGCTTCGACTTGGGGCCAGAGCTTTGACCTAGGAACAGAAAGAGGAAGGGGGAAAGGGGAAGAAATTCAAACTGTTGGTGGTGAAAAGTTCGCTTCTTTGTAGTTCTTTCGCCCCAACAGTTAGAGCAGGGGGTCAGGAAACTTTTTTACTCCTGCCAGGCAGGAGGAGGGAGAGGAGGGGGTAGCTCTGGATCACCACTGGGCACAGGAAGACAGTGTGCTCCCTTCCCATCCCTGGTGTGGGTCTACTCATGACTAAAGCCCGTCAGAGATCCAGGTCTACTCATGAGCAAGGGCCACAAAAGGTGCAGGTCTACTCATGAATAAGGGCGGCCAAAGGTGCAGAAGGTGCAGGTCTACTCATGAGTAAGGCCGGCCAAAGGCAGGGTGGGAGAGGCTCCTCAGTGGAGAGGGCCTGCGGCGGCGGTGGCACAGAAGGCGGCTCCCCGCCGGGAGTGAATGCCATCGGAGGCTTCAGTCTGCCTGGCAAGGTGCTGCATTTTACTTTTTAGAAACTTCTGGGTGGGTTTTGGCTGGAGGGGTTATGTTTCTGTGCTGTGTTGTTTTTTGCAGTCGCAGAGTGGGGATTGCTCAATGTTTATTTTTGTTTATTTTTTTGCAGCCTTTGGAGCTAGCTCTGTTTATTTTTGGTTGTTTTTTTAAAAGCCCCGGTGCCTTCCAAAGGGGCTTTCTGTGTGCTTTCTGTGTGCTTTTTTTGGTATTTTTTTTTAAATGCGGGAATGGATTAATCCCATCCCCATGCATTTCAATGAGAAATAGTGCTTTGACTTAGGAAAATGTTGAGCTACGGCCACCTTTCCAATAGGATTAATTTCGTAAGTCGAGGCACCACTGTAAATGTTAAAGGGCCAATTCAGCTAATTATAGTCATGACTAAGTTTTGGTGCTCATAGATTTGTTGGGAGGAAACTACTATCCAGAAATGCTGGATTGAACCTGCAGTGACTCCTGTCGTAACATACAAATTCAGGCCATACACCTGTTCAAAATGGTGCCTAATCCGGTTTTTCTCTGACCCAGATTTTAAGAATATACCTCAGTTTTGGGTGATACAGGACTACCCTGTTTTCCACATGTTTTTTGCATGTATGCCTCTTTGCCACCTCTCCATTCACTATTCCCTTTGCTCCTCCCTCAACCATGATCATGTATTCAATTTTTCCCTTGTTCTCTTGTGCATACACAGAACACTAATTCCTTTTTAAATTATTTTAAAATTGCTCATCCAAATATGTACAAAAATACATTTTAAAAAAATAAGAGGAGGAGCAGGACATGACATTCTTGTCATGTGACAATGTGCTGAGCCCACAGCATGAGGTGTCCAACCCACAACATTGTACACACCCAGCCACACCACAGTATACCAGATTAAAACAGAAAAAAGTACTGCTACTTGGCCATGTCTTAAAAGCAGAGTGACACCTGTTTGCAGCTAACCCACAAGCAAATACATTTTCCCTAATCAACTGCATTAATGTAGTTCCAGCCAGAGTCTCATTGCTGTAAGAAAGATTAATGATATTTTCACAGATACGCTTACCTGGGAACAAGATTAACTGAACTCTGTGGCACTTCTGTGTAGACAAGGACAGAATTGTGTTACTTGTGCTTAAATTTAGTTGGGTCAGGACTTTAAATAAAAACCCTAAAATTGATTTACAAACAGATTTGGTGTGTCAAATTTATTTTGTGGTATAGGATAAATGCTACCCCCAAACCACTTCTGTTGTGCAGGGTAGACTTTATTTTTTTCTGCTTAGTTTGTTTCCTGAACATCTCTGTACATCACTGTTTTATTTCCATTTCCTGTGAATCTTGCAAGAATCTTCAAAAGGCCTCATTTCAAAAAGTAATTTGAAAAAGCTGAATGAGGAAAAACATCAAAACATGAAGTGTCTTCTTTTTGAGATTAACTTTCCTGCCCTTCTCGCAGTAGCACCATTGGGAGTGAACTATAATTATCCATAAAGTGTATGATGATGATGATGATTCAGAAGAGTTTTCTTTTACTAATATGCATGAGTTATCCGTAAAGTCCAGCCCCATTGATACGGAAGTTTAGTAAATGATAACAGAGGTGTAGCCACCATCATTCCCTTTTCTCCCAAGGAAACCCATGGCAATGGTTCTGCATATCCTATCAACATCACCTGAAACAGAAAAGCTGTTATTAAATGGATAAACTGGTTTGATGGGATTTCATTTAAAAAGATACTTTCTGAAATACATACCCCCTCTAAGTAATCATAACTAATAAATTATTTTGAGGGCAACAAATCAGAATGCCTGACCTCCCGATTCAGCTGCAGTCATGTTTGTATATGACTCAGTGATTGTGCCTGTGGAATCGTGACAGGAGGATTCCCATTGGCTACTTCCTAAGATGCTACTGTGCAAAGGCAAAAGAAGGGCAATAAAATCTCAGATCAAAGGACAACAGCTTTATTGTCCCTAGCACTACATTCTTTCCATCTGATCTGAGCCCAAATGACCAAGGCAAAGGGCAGATGTCTGGATGGTGAGTTGTGAGCAAGAATGATCTGTGACTGTGGATAATGCTGTTTCTGATGCCTGGATGCTTTTGTTAAGGCATAAGATCTTAGTTTCCCACTTGCTTGCTTTGTGGCATGTAAGCCAATAGGAGGTACTGTAGTCTTAATTATTGTTTCAAATGCATTTTTAAAAAAACATTCAATAACATCAGAATGTTTCAATACACATAGCTAAAAATATTGGGAAGCAGAGAGCAAGAGCTAAATGGCTGACTGGAGTACTCTGTGCTGCTATTCATTCCCATCCAAGCATCAAGATACTGTGCTAGGTTATTGAACAATTTGGGGAGAAGAAGTGTCCTCAGTTTTAAGTAGGAGAGAAAATGAAGTGAGTCAGCAAGCCACATGCTGCCTATGATAATGGAGGAACTGCTCCTAGAGAATATACAAAAGGCTGAGACTAAAAATCCCATAGATATCTAGTGACTGAATAAACCAGTAAATCTTGAAAAAACTATGCATCACACTTGATGCAAATTTAATGCAAATCCAAATTTTAGATATTCATCAGTATGGTCTCCTTGTTCTGGACTTTAATTACATTGGACAGAACCCTACTGGTGTTCATGTAAGGTTTGCGTAACATTCTGCAGCTAATCGATGAGATGCCAGGTTGCATCTTGATTGTGCCACTGGGCAGTGACCAGGCACTTTTGTCAATTAGCTATAATGTAGCAAGTTAATCAAACCTTATATGAACACCAATAGGATTCTGCACATGATATCATTATAATGGGTTGTAAGTAACCTTTATATATCTTTTCCAGGATGTCTTCTCATTCAATCTCCCACCCCAGCAATTCTCTGGAGCTATACTGACTGAAAGTCTGGGAGACTTCTCAACAGTTCCTTGTATCATGAGTAATGTCCTTTCTTCATCTGTCTGAATATGCTTTAGTATACTTACTCCTTGCTCTACAAACAGCTCTGGCCCAGAGAAATTTAGGTTATGCAGGCTGATCTGTTAGGAGTGCCAGATACAGATCTTGCTTTACTGCACAACACTAGAATAGGTATCTTCTAGCCCTGCAATTCTTCAACAGGAATTGTAGGAGAAGCAGACAAATACCACATACCTCTGTCTTCCCAGGAATGCCCTTTGGTTCACCCAGCACTAGAGTTCCTGAAGAGGGCCATTTAAGAAAAATGGCATACAGAATGTCTTCTTTTGGTTTTGATGTATACCTGGTCAACATTAATAAAACATTTATTATTTATTGAACTTATTTATCTCGCCTTTCAGATTACGTATCTCAAGTGCCTGACTAGTCATAGATCTTGGCAATCATTCCAAATGGTGGTGGTTAGAAATGCATTTCCTAGAGGTGTTAGCTGTGTAATAAGTTGTCTTTACTCAATATGCATCTTCTTTGATTGTGTATTAGAACAGAGGAGTGAAGTTGACGCTGATGCAATTGTAAGAACATAGCAGAGTTGCTAGCCAGTTCCCTTGTTCTTCTGAGGTACAAAACTTAATCCACACATTGAAAGCTGGAGCTGACAAGGCCTCTGCCTCTTAGTTAAGTGTAAGCCCCAATGAATCAGCATGACTTACTTCTCAGTAAACAGGAATAGATTGATGCTACTTTTCTTTGACTAAGCACTGTCAAGAAAGCAGAATAAGTTGTTCCCATTGGCAAAATACTTTAATTTTTGCTCACAGACTTACCATACATCTGGGGTGACACTGTCATTCTGCGCTCTCCAAGGTTTAGTGCTAAAAATGGCTTCTCCATTTATTTCCAGCCAATTCCCCATTTGTTTTAGGCGCTCTTCAAAAATGACAGGGATGCGTCCATCATGGGTAGGACCAATGTTCATCAAGAGATTTCCCCCACAGGACACTGTTTCAACAAGTAGCTGAAATTGTTTTGGAAGGAAAATGAAGCAACAGTACAATATAAATTGTCAACACAGCTCTATAAACTCTGGAAAATATTAAAGGCAGATTTACAAAGGTTATTTTTAATCTTTTTAGTATTGTATACTCATTGTTATTACTGTAATTTTAAATACTATCTTTTAATTGTTGTAAGCCATCCTTTAGTCCTTTTTGAGGAGAAAGGTGGGTTACAATGTTTTAAAACAAACAAATACATTCCAGTGTTTCCAGTGCCGTGCTATTGGTCAGGGATGAGGATTATGTGGCCTTTCAGATACTTGCTCGACTACAACTGCCAACATTCTTTGCCATTAATTCTGCTGGCTAGGACCGATGGGAGCTGCAGTCCAATATCTGGAGGGCCCCAAATAGTCCACCCCGCTGTAGGTTACAAGATACAGCTGCTGAATACCAGCTACAGATTTTGTCAGTCACCATATACTTCCTCAGTATGTATTTCCTTACTGGTTTCTGTAATGATCTTTCACACTACGTATGCTAATGACCAGCTATATTTTCTTTGATCTAAAAGCTATGGTTGAGACAAGATGGGTGTGGATATTTTCTTCCTTTTTTCCTTCTTAGTCTCAAGAACTGCTTCCTCAGAACCCCACAACCATTCCAACAACTGATAAAAATGTTGCCATCTCTTTTTTAATCCAAAGTATTTACATCCATATTCTGTCTGCTGAAGGTGGCTTAAGTTTTCACCATACTTAATGGTATTTCAAAAAATTATAAAAGGTGAAAACACTCAAGACTTGAAAGCATCAGTCAAGTCAATACAAGCCAAGACAGCATTGTTGCAGGCACTACCCCTTCTAAAAGGCCAGAATTTATTGCCATCAGAGAAGCTGCTCCCTGCCCCAAGTATTTAACTAAGAAAAGCTAAATTCGCACAGGGACTGCATATGAAACAGGGGGATGGCAGGATATTTTAACAACTGAGGAGCCATGTATAAGCTCATGAGTCTCCAGGGCATATAGCTGCAGGCTGTGAAAAACTACAAGTTGAAATCAGAACCTTGACTTGGCCTGGAAACTAACTGGAAGCTAATGCAGGTACTTCAAATAGGGAATGAATATGCCTTTGCCTTCCTATATATAACCAGAAAACAGAGAACAGCACTCTGCACTGACAGACACTTTGTGACAGGAAAACAGAGAACAGCACTCTGCACTGACACTTTGTGACATGAAGGCATTGCAGCTGGGTAAGTGGAGAGATATGGGAGAGAAAAGCTTGCGTCTCTCATTTAGAATATTTTGACATTTTTCCATATAATACAAGCAAACATACACTGTGACAGAATTATAATAGGTTGTTAAATGGAGGAATAGTGTTAAATGGAGGAGTAAGTAAACGAGATGGGATATTTGCTTGGACAGAGGAGAAACATTTAGCATTCAGGAAGCTCAAATATCCTGCCTACCTGAAGCTGCACAAACTTTCCTCTACAGTGGACCCTCTACTTACAGAATAAATCCATATTGGAATAGTGGCTGCAGGCCAAAAAGTCTGTAGGTCGAGTCTTCACTGACCTACAATGCATTGAAAGCCGATTAATCCTGTAACCGGCCGTTTTTGTTCCATTTTGGTTTTTTTTTCCTGGTCTGTAGGTCGATTCTCTGGCTGCAAATCGAACCTAAATTTCGTGGCTAGAGAAGTCTGTAACTCGAAAAGTCTGTAAGTCGAGGGTCCACTGTAGATTGTGTATGTTTTTTTAAAAACAGGTCCCTCCAGATAAACTTTGGTTGTTTTATGGAAAGTTTCTACAGGCCACACTGTCTTTGTCTCATTTTACCTTTACAAGATCTTCAATTGCCAGATAATCACTCAATTGTGCATTTCTCCGGTATCCCCACGACTTCCTGTCGATTGTCATACAATTTTCCCACTTATGGGACAAAAGGTGTCCTGGATTGTATCGATCAGCACATGTATAGTATCCTCCATGTTTACAAATAGTGCCAGCTCCCCAGCGATCATTTGTTACCACTCTGTCCCGAACAGGGCTGAAAATATGAAATGCATTATTGGTATATGAAGTCTCTGCAATCTAAGACACAGATTCTTTTTCAATACTAAGGTTAAAAGAAAGTTCCATAGAACAAAAATGACATACCTGTCATTATACAGCCAAGCAAGGAAACCAGTGCTGTTCCAATAAGTATCAGGGGCATTACCATCTCCATCTGACCACAGAATATCTGGCTGGTATTGGTTCACAATTTCATAAAGCTCTGGGAGTGATTTGAGACTTGCAAATTGTCTTTTCATGAATGCACTAGCAGCATCCTCAAGGAAGAGACGGTTGAACCATTCAAACAGTGAGTGATAAAGCCCGAAGCGTAATCCAGTTCGGTTTCTAATAGATGATGCTAATTCAGCCACAATGTCCCGTTTTGGTCCAACATCAACTGCATTCCAAGCCCAAGAATATTTAGATCCCCACAAAGTAAAACCTGGGAGATGAAAGTTAGGATGATTACTACTCATAACAATTAAAAGGATTGCAAATGTTTGAGGCATCTTTATTTTGCCCCCCCCTTAAACTAATGTATCTGCAAAGCTAAATAGACTATGTTAGAATGCACCTGAAAATATATCTGTGTCGTTTCTTTAGATAAAGAAAAGTAGTGTAATGGAGGAATTGGCATGATACCATAGAAAAAATATTGCATTTTCAACAAGAAAATCTAGGGTTGAATCTACACATAGCCATGTGCACATTCGACAAGTCTGGGCCAGGCATGCTCTCTGACTAAAGTGCTCCATGGGACACAAATGTAGTAACTAGTAGAATCGGCATCACAGTTGTTACATACTGTTTGTAGGGCTGATGTTACAGAATTAAAGGGTTATAACATGTACTCCGAAACCAAATGAAGAAGCCCTAGCTAAGCTTTTTGTCTGCTGAAATAACTAAAACAAACTCCTGAGATCCAAAAGAAAGATCTTAAGTTTACCTTCATGGTGTTTTGAAGTCAAGACAATGTATTTGGCACCAGAAGCTTTCAAAATGTCTGCCCACTGGTTGGCATCAAAAAACTCAGCTGTAAATGAAGGACCAAAATCTTCATATGTGAATCCAGGAGGGTAATTTGCATTCATAAATTTTACATAAGGTTCTCTCTTTTCCTTTTGCCAATACCACCTGCAAAAAAATAAAAAATAAATACTCCATAGTATCTGCAAACAGTAGCAATAAGATGTCAGATAAGAAATTCAGACATGATCTGGAGCAAAATCTCAGTGGTGTCCTAAATATGTGGAATGCATAATCTACACATCATGACTTTAGCATGCTTAAGTGCAGAAGCAGTATCTAGAAACATATCTGAGAATCCCCAAGTATGGTGGTTGTGGGCTTTTTGGGCTCTTTGGCCATGTTCTGAAGGTTGTTCTTCCTGACGTATCGCCAGTCTCTGTGGCCGGCATCTTCAGAGGACTGGAGTAGGAACTCTGTCCATCCTCTGTAGCAAGATCCCAAAGTATCTTTCCAACTCAAATCAAGTTTCTCGGTCTCATGTAACCCTCCCATGTGTCTTGATGATATGGTTGCATGTGCTAAAAATTTAAATACCAAACTGAATGTGATTAGGACATTTCGGTTGTATAAAGTTTCTAGAGTGCTTTGTTTACTTTTCCTATCAATTCTAAATACATCCTAGTCCATTCATTCTCAATATTGAAGCCTTTTTCTAAAAGATTTCCTGCAAATCTATTTAACCTATAGTGCTGTGTAAGGTAAGCATGCACTGTCACAAGCTGTTATATCAATTCAGCACTGTCATTTGCCAAAAAATTCTAAAAAGTAGAAAAGAGAATGATGAATGACAGAGGACAGTGGTCCTGATGAGAACTGCAGTGACCTGAGATATGGTGTGAACTCTTGACCTGAAAATTGCGAGGTTGGGTAGTGACCACAGTGATTTAACTGCCAGAGGAAATGCAAATTGACCCAAATCAACATGGGACAACCTCCCTATCTAGTTCCACCCTGAGTTTCAACTGTCACTGCTACTTAGGATACTTGGTCCTATAAAGATAAACTAGACACAAGGTCCTCTTAAACAGGAATACCTATAAAAGGATTTTGGTTTGGTTTTCATTTGTTTGTTTGTTTGTTTTGGTCTGGTTTCCAATAATGCTCCTCGAGGTCCTGACTTGCTCCTTGGTTCCAACTCCCGACTTAATCCCCTCCCCAGAAACAATTCTTGGCTTCAGATGGACAACTGTCCTTAGTTCAACATCACATAACCATCATATCATCATAATGTCTAATTGGTGTCTGTTTATCAGTACTTGTTTTGCCTGTTAGTACAATGTTAAAACTGGACCAACAGTAGACAAGGGGTTTGGCACAGAAAAGGGAATCTCCTTTCACACAAAGTATATTTGTTTATCATGTTTGCCCCTCATGAATGTGTTAAATTCCAACTCCCACAAGCTCTTCCTATTGTCTATGTATGGGAATTGTAGGCCAAAATATCTGGAGAACCAAAGGTTTACCATCCTTCCTTTATAACTTTCCGTAACAAGAGAATTTGAAAGGAGCTAACAATGACTGAATATATAATTGCTCTCCAAACACGACAGAACAGAAAAGGCAGTTGAGTGTTAGTTGGAAGAACACAAGACTCAAAACTTGGAGAATCTTATCTTCAAAGCTCTTCCCTCCTGATCCCACACAGATCCACAAGCATCCAGGGAAGGACTTCATCCCTCAAAGAAACCCCATCTACTTTGTCTCACAACTCACTCCTAGGGAATAGAAACTAAAAATCTGTGTGTAGTGGGGTGTGAGTGATATTAGGGCAAGAGCAAGATTACTTCCTCTTATTCTAAAGAATCACCCTGCCAGGAGCTCCTGCAAACAAGCTAAACCTTTAATAGCTTATCATGAAATACTATGTAGGCATGTGAGTATAAATGAAGGGGGAAAAGGACTTGATGGCTTGCACTGGTGCACAACCTCAGTTCTTTCCAACACAAAAAGTGGAAGGTTTCACCAGTGGGCTAGGATTCAGAGCTTGTCCTGAACCTCACTGATAAGGCTGTTTTGTCTTAAATTGCTGAAATTGAAAAGTAAACAAATGGGAAGTGGCTCACATGCACAGTCAGCCCTCCTTTAAGAGCTTCCCTAAGGCAGGTTTTATCCAGCACTTTTAAACGCAATTGGACCAATCTCCAAAGTGGTGGCCAGTTTCCAAAACAGGTGGCCAAGTAAACCTGTTGCAGCATAAACACCCAAGAGCCCTGTCTTAAAGCCTAACGTAGTCGTTAAAGTACCGTTTGGCTGTTGCTTATTTTACCGACCGCGAATTTCTTAAAGAAAGGTAGCGCAAAGGAGACGGATTGTGACCGGAGCATGGGGGCGGCCCAACCTTCTCCCAAAATAATTTGGGAATGAGCGGCGCTCTCCTGCTCGGTCCGCGTTCGCCTACGAAGGCAAAATGAAATGGAGACGACCGCGGGTCTCCTTAGAAGGCAATTCCGTGCAGTTCAACCTCCACCCTGCGCCCGCTAAGTCTTCGGGAGACATCCGAGCCTAAAGGGTCCTTCCTCCCCGCGGCGAGGGACCCTCTCGTGGCTCTGCATCAAGGCCCCCCCGCCAACAGACAGCTCCGGGCAGCGAGAGGGAAAGCGGGAGGGGGGGGAGAAGGCCAGAGCAAACCGAGCAAGGCACAGCCCTGAGGCGGGGGGGGGGGGGAGAGGTCGGGGGAGAGGAATCTCACCAAAACCACTCGCTGCCGAAGCTGGGCACGGAGAACACGCCCCAGTGGAGAAAAATGCCAAACTTGGCTTCGTCAAACCAGTCGGGGATCGGCCTGGAATCCAGCGATTCCCAAGTGGGGTCATAGCGAGCGGCCTCTCCGGCTAAGGGCCGGGAGATGGAGAGAAGCAGCGGCAGCAACAGCCGCCCCAGCGCGGGAAGCCGGGAGCCGGCAGACATAAAGCGCCTCTTCGGGAGTCCTCCTTGCGCCGCTTCTCCTTCACATGACGCCAGTCACCTGACGGCGCTCTCTTGCAAACCGGAGCGAGGGTGCTTCCGCCTCGTTTGGGTTTAATGTTAACTTTCTGGTTTTTCAGGAAGAGGCAGAAGAGGGCCGGGCCGGGCGGACGGACGCTGCTCAGCGTCGGAGTTCAAGCGGGAAGCTCTCCTGAGAAGGCCTCAGCAACGAGAGCTCGCTTTTCGGCGAGGGGGGTGTGTGTCAAACTCTGTTGCTTTACAAGATCACTAGCAGCAACAGCAGGGGGTTTTAACCTGGCAGTAGAATCAATGGGGCCGCTCTCCCCGTGTCCCAGTACTGAGGCTCAAGCCATACAGTTGCCTGAAAGTAGACCCCCCACTATGGGGCTGACGTGTGAGGTTTTTTGCATTCCGTCGAGCCGGCGGTGGTCGGTGTTTCCACACAGACGGTTCGTGGTGCTACAGTCAAAAAGCGTTGTGACTTACGTTCTTTCTCCTCAACATGATTTTTTTATTTTCCTGGTAAGAGAACAGATAGATGAAGTGATGGGAAAACCTGAGAGTATCACAAATGGAAGAAGATGATGGCTGCGTCAACGCTGACTCAAATTCCATTTGATGCAGAGGGCTTTAGGATAAGGATGTGTCCAGATGGCTTTGCCATTTAAAATGAAATGCAGTTCTGTTGTTTGAACTCTAGACTAGCATGATGAATCAATTATGTTTCATATCATCACAGGATTTTTGCACTATGCAAATAATTCAACTTCCTGCCATGGTATCTTCCATCCCTCTCCAGGCCTAAGCAGCTTCCAAGGCATATCTGGAAGTATGTGTTGTGTTGCTTCCTTCATTTCTGTGAGAAATTTCCATTTTAAATTTATTCCTTGCCTAACCGAATCCTCTCTGATCTAATCCAACTTCCAACAAGTGTGTTCCAGTCAATTTCATATCTCTCTGTTACCAGTTTCACAATGATATTTACCTCTTTTGTTTCTCCCTTTTAAAAAATCTCTAGATAAACAACCACATTCAAAGAAGTACAATTCTTATTGACTGTCACATCATTTCCCATCAGTCCCATATCATATATTGCAAGACAGTGTGGTGTGGTGGATGGAGTGTAGTAACACTACTGAGGAGACCTAGATTCAAATCCTCTCACAGCCATGGAAACTCACTACAGGAGATGGTGATGATAAACTACTACATGAACATTTCACATACCTGAAAAACCTCATTATGGTTTACTTCAAGTCAGAAACAACTTGATAGCATGAAACAGACATGTTATTTTGTTAGACCACAATTGTTATTTTGGCATATATGCCATCTCATAGTACTAAACTACTTCCTATGCAGTTTACAACATAATTATGCAAACTTAATTATTTTGCATTCACCTTCTAAAATCTTCCATTCTTTCTGCATCTGAGGTTGATGTTCCTGTTGCTCTTTATCCCACTTCAACATTTCCTTATTCTAGGCACTGTTTTTTTTTAAATTATCCTTTCTTGATATTCTCTGAAGAGAGGTTTCTCTGTGCACCTTTCTTAATGTGGTATTTCTAATTCCTCCTTACTGTTTAAAGACTGCAAAGGTAAATAATAGATGTTCTATATTCCAGATATATAGTCCTCTCAAAGTGAAAGCAAACCTAAAATTTCAGCCTGCCTCTGCTGCAGCCATTCTGTTCTATTTCTTAAGCAGACATTACTACACAGATACATCTAAAGAGACTAGAACTGAAGTTGGGAAGATCTGTGAAGCTGTAAGAGAAAAGATACGGCTGTAGACCACACCTCTAAAAGACAATTTGGTAAGTGACTGCAGCTTTATATGGCAGAAAAGCACAGTAACAGCAAGGATGTTCTACAACCTAACTCATACTGCCTTGAATTATTGGATAAATAGGCAAAACACTCAGAACAGCCTAAGTTAGAAAAAGAACTGGATAAGGCTAAGATGGAGTGGAGGCAGAAGTGATGGGAAAGCTAGGCAAAGCTGCAAGTGGAAGTTGAGGTTATATGAAGGTGATGTGTAATATTCCGTTATTGAGGCAGGATAGTGATATAATAAAAGTGATAAAAACCTGTTCTGGAATTATCCAAAGAGCCTTTCCATGAACAGGACTCATCATGATAGCAATCAGAAGGGATCATGCTATTATTCTGTATGGTATGTTCTTAACAGATATGCCATGGTAAGGAAAAAGGAGTGGAAAAATAAGGGAGGTTACATATGAAGGACAATATTTGAGGCTCATGAAAATTTCAGTTAATGAAATTGGCCTAAACTACACATTTTCTAAAATCTGCAGGAAAAGTTTTTACTGCAGGTTAAGCTTACCCACTTAAACACACAACCTTTATTTTAATGCAGATCCTAAAATTTAAACAGAAGATGTGTAAGCATGCTGCTGCTCCCCCCCCCTTCCACTCTAGGGTAGAATACCGGAGCAAGAGAGCTCGTTCTCCTTTGCAGGGCTTATTTGTTCAGCAGATAGTTTGGACAATATCAATTATGGTGAATTCTCCCCAGCCATTGAAGACATCCCTACTGCTACTGCTACTGAGTCTGCTACCCTGTTCCCCGAAAATAAGACCTAACCTGAAAATAACCCCTAGTGTGATTTTTCAGGATGCTTGTAATATAAGCCCTACCACAAAATAAGCCCTGTTTAAGTTAAATCCCATCCTCCACCATTGTGCAGCAACCAAAAGAAGATGGCGTGACTGTATTTGAATAAATGTAGACTGTACATGGAAAAAAAAATAAAGCATCCCCTGAAAATGAGCCCTAATGCGTTTTTTGGAGCAAAAATTAATATAAGGCCCTGTCTTATTTTTGGGAAAACAGGGTATCCCACTGCCCATGGTACAAACAAGCCCTGTGTCAGATGAAGGGTTTGTACATGCCAGCCAACACAGAGGAACTCCTACTGCAGTTTAAAGTCATGTATATTGGGCACCATTTTAAATTGCAGCAGGGTTTGCATTATGTGAAGTGACTTTGGTTCATCCAGTTTTGTGTTTCAGCCAGGAGGTAGCTTTTGCTTTATCTGGAACTGCTCAGAATTGGGGGGGGATATGCAAGAAGCAGTGGGAGAACATAGAAGGATTGCAACATAAAGATATGAGCCTCTTCCTGTTTAAATACTGGCATTTAGCTATGTTTATCTATTCTAGGCTGGCAGGACTACAAAACTCTTATGCAACTTATGTTTGTATTGCACTATAAGTTATATGCTTCTTTTATATTACTCTCTTACATTATGGTATTCATAGTCTATATTAATTTATTTCATTAATAGTTTTAATTTTCTGCAAGGCTGTGAAGGAGGGTAGACCCAACAGAGAAAGAACAGAGTGATCAGTCCCCTTAGCCAGAGACATCTGAGCGGGAGAGATACTGTATATAGAAGTAGGGAAGACAATGGAAAGTGACCTTGGAAAGTTGAATGTGGAGGAAGGGAAAAGAAAGAAATCAAAGGGGAAAGAGGAGAAGATTGGAACCTGTCTAATGGAAGAGAGGGAGAGAGGGAGGAGGGGAGGAGGAGTTAATTTTGCCTGTGTGGGAGGAGGATATAGGGGAGCAAAGGGGGAGGAGACAGCTCAGTGTACCAAAGAGGGAGAAAAATAAGGAAGGGGAGGAAAAGAGGTGTGAGAAAAGAGAATACGAATATGATAGAATTCATGGGTTGTTGGAGGACTTCCCTAATTTGAAGGTAGGAGGGTTGCTACCTGACCCGGACAAGTCTAAAGAAAAGGGGACATCGGCAGAAGCTCTAGAATTGACAGTCGTGGTCTTTCTGTGGGGACGAGGTCACTCGAGGAAGGTGATTCGGCTGGACCCTTCCTTCAACCACTCACCACCGAAGGGAGATTGGGCCAGATTGAGCCTTGTTGTGGGACAATATGTGCAGTCCAGAGTGCTCCACTGAGGAAGCCCACCAATTGGGAATATTTTGGGCCAGCCCCTGTCCGGAGTGCTCCACTGAGGAAGCCCACCGATTGGGAATATTTTGGGCCAGCCCCTCAATGAATCCTGTCAATTTCCAGACAGAGTTATCATGCTCACAATTTGGACAGTTACCAGATCTTAGTTGTTTTGAACCAATAGAAGTTGTTGTAGACTCACCTAACGTTAAACTAAATAAATCTGTTAACATTCAAAAAGAGATTCAGTTATCATTTCCCACCAAAAAGGAGGAACTGCTTCAGATCTTTAATGAACCCATTTCGTAGTTTGAAGGGCAAGATATGAGTGAAATAATTTATATAAAATAACACGGCTGGAACATTTATATTGACAATATTTCTGGAATGTATGAGAATTTGAATTTTTTTATTTGTTGGTTTAACTCCTATAGACTATGGTTTCATTCTAGTGGGTGGGGAAATCTTAAGAAGGGGCTGTGATTCAAGATTTGAGTTGAGAACATGCAGGAGAGTTAGAGGGTCAGGAGCTGATATTCCCCTGGAGGAGAATTAGGCCCTTATCGTCTTGGTTTGGGTAGACGAATCTCAACATGTTTGTGCAGAAGAGGCATTGGAAGGGTGAATACATGTAATGATCTTACGTATTTGCATTTGAATTTTTTTAAATATCTTTTTTAATATTTTAGGGCTCTAAAGACTATATTTGGAGCTGTTTCTCTTATCTTGTGGATCTCTTGCCTTGGTTGATATATATATATATTTAGGACTTTTTTCTTATTTAGCTAAAAAAAGATATTTTTATTCTTCCTTGTTTCTTCAACTTAACCTTGGCCAAAGGCTGAGAAGCTTCAAGAATTCCTGGTCAAGAGAACTCAGCTGTGTAGAAATTGTAGCATCCAGTTTTGTATCGTCTTATATTTTACATATTACCCTGTTTCCCCGAAAATAAGACCTAACCTGAAAATAAGCCCTAGTATGATTTTTCAGGATGCTCGTAATATAAGCCCTACCCCCAAAATAAGCCCCAGTTAAGTGAAACCCCGCCCTCCACCTTTGTGCAGCAACCAGAAGAAGATGACATGACTGTAAAATAAAGCATCCCCTGAAAATAAGCCCTAATGTGTTTTTGGAGCAAAAATTAATATAAGACCCTGTCTTATTTTCAGGGAAACACGGTACAATATACTAAAATTATGAACAAATGTATTGGGATCAAATTGTTACTCATCTATGAAATGCCCAATTCTGTGTCATGAATGCATGTACTAGATTTCAGTCTGATATCTCAGCCTTTAACAGAGTTATCACATGACAGAGAATTGCAAATGAACTTATAAATGGATGAGTGAAGCCAAACATCTCATTTTGTCAGCTGGTTTATTGCATCTAA